AGTAACTGGGACCCTACTTGGTTCCAGATGACTTCATCTGTAACCATTTTCTTCTCCAGCCAGTTTCAGTTTAGCTTATACTGTCAAGAGAACAACAGAAACTTGGAATTGCTTTTGGTCCACATTTTACCCTAAATTGGACCTAACAGTGTCACCGCGTGCTTTAAACCCCTATTGTGAACAATTACTGTGTTAATAGCCAAACCATTATATGAATCCAAACTTGGTCATGGGTTGCTTTATCTATCTGCTTGAGGAATCTTAAAGATAGCTTGTCTTTTCATATAAACATTGTGGGGTTAAGAACTACAGAAGTCTTCTAGAATTTCTTCCCCCTCCTTTTATGGCTTATAGAGAATAATTCCTCAGCAAATATAACAAAATCACGATTTGGTGTATAAGCTGGATGTGGACATAGCACTAAAGACCTGTTTTGTGCACACTCAGTGAGTAAAAAAGCAAGAGACCTTCGGGTTTTTTTACTGCTCTGAAAATTCCAGAAGTTAGTTAAGTTGCAAAGATGATATATGCACACTATCATGAAATCCCTGTTGCAGCTCATCAGAAAGAAACACTGAAATTCCAGGGCTCTTCAGCTTTCTGCTGTCTCCTTGATATCATGAGCTATACCAAGAGCAGCTGGAAGAGCAGCCTTTGGAGTCTGACGTGTGTCTGGAAGCAAGCAGTGCCTCAATTATCTCAAGATAATCCAAGTACAATTAATGCTTCCCTTTCAATAACAGCATTGTCAGTGCCAGAGTTCTCAAGAATTCATCCAGTCTGCTCCTAGCCAGATGGATTAAGTTATATACTGTGAAGACGAACAAGCTATCAGACAAACCTATTGCTGAAGGAGTCAAAGCATGTGCTCTATAACATCTCTGGTGATTACAGCTGTGGAATAACGCATGTTTTGTTTCTTAATAGTTCCAAGAAGCTGAGGAGAGGAAAGAGGAGAAACTGTTTTGGGCAGAGCTGAAACAAAACTTTTTGGCAATTATTTATGGAGAAAAATAAGACAAAAAAAAAACGGACTTTATCATGCTGAAAAGGAATGTTTCAATTTACTGTTATTACGTCTAGGATTTTTGACTAAATTAATCAGGAAAATAGCTAAAAATCACATTTGGTAACATCATCCCCTAAACTTATAATATTTTTGTTGATTTGATGGCATTTTTCCAGTGAAGTTTTGGCCAGCTCTACTGGTGTCATGGACAGAAGTGTTAGCACTTCAGCTGAGGACATCCGCATGGCCTACTGCTGCTATGTAAGAGTTATGGCTATATTAGGTGTAGGTGTGTAGCTCTGAAACCACTCAGCAGCAAGCCCCTGTTTGCTGCTCCTAAGGCTCCTTTCTCTAATCCTGGTTGAAGATGATTCACACAAGCCCTTGTCGCAGACTGGAGGGGGCCTGGCTGCCATCAGCACCAGTGCTGGACAGACCAGCCCTACACACTGCAGAACTGTTGTCCTCTGCTACAAAAAGGAAAAAAAAAAAAAGAAAAATCTTAAAGAAACTACAAAGTATGAAACTTCCCAATCCACCAAGAAAAGAATATATGGGAACACTAATTGCAAAAGCATGACTCTAGGTAACCACCAAATGCTTTTTGAAAGCTTTTGGAATCGTCTATTGTGTAGCCCCCAAATTAAAGCCATCTTAATCTTATCTGCCTTCCTTCCAGCTGCTCTTAGAACATATTTCCTCAAACCTTCATGCACACTCCAGCATCCATTTGTTCACTCTGAACAAATACTTATGCCAGGTCTGTTTTTCGGAGCATCAGAATCAGGTTTTGCTGCCTTGCCATCACTGATCCCACTCCACCCTGGGCTGCAGGCATGCGTGGCTCATACCACACATTTTCACTGCATTCTCCAGAGCCTGTGTCAGCAAGGGAGCTAGTGCACAGAGGCTGCATGGCTGAAGGCTTCCAGCTGCTGGCACTGCCGTGCCACTGCAGCAGGGCTCTCATTTATCTAGCCCAAACTTCAGGAAGAGAGGTGTGCAGTTGGTCCAGTCCTCAAAAGCTGGTCATAGTTACAAAGACAACAGCCACCATAGCTGCGCTACCCCAATAAAAAAAATCTGGGCTTGAGCTAAAGTTGGGGCTAGGATGGGCTGAGCACATAAAATGCCCCAGGAAGAAGCAGTTACCTCCCTTTCTCCTTCAGGGCAGTAGCCCATTAATAGCAGTAAGTTGAAGTCTTTAAATTAGAGTTTTCATTTGCAAGATTTGGAAGACATAAGGAATTAAATACAGCTAGTAGCCAAGTAAGACCACTGTGTTAAATGTGGCAAGATGAGCGAGATGCTGCAGGGAGCACCCACGGGCATCACTGAATGGCTCCAAGAGAAGGACCTGCTCTCACTGCGAATTTGAGGGCAAAGGCAAAGCACCTCCAGCACGTCAGCAACGACCACCTCATGCATGTGCCACTGGTCAGGAGAACCTCTTCAGAACAGACATGGTCCTTACCAAGATCCCACATTTCCTCTTCTTTTTCCCTCAGGAAATTACTGGCATGGATTTTTAAGTTCTATAATCAGTGACAGGAGAGAAGGGATAAGACACCTCTGTTTCACTCAAACAGTGACAGAGACAACAGTGAGGTGTGGACAAACAACAGCTCCCTTGGTCTGGGACCTGTGGCATCCCAACCCGAAGGTGAGCAGGCCCGGTGTCGAAAACGCCACCAGCGCAGCTGTATCAGGGAAACAAAATGCTCCTCAGCCTTTACCTCCAAATCACAAGGCACTCTCTGTTGCTTGAGCTGCACCCTCAGCAGGTTCTTTTGCTGTTCGTCTTCCAGGCAGTCGACCTCGGTCACGGGGAACGCCTGCTGCTGGGTGTCCTCGCTGAGGCTGACCACAAAGAGCACCTCGGAGGTGAGCAGCAAGCAGCCTTCATGCTGCTGCCCCGATCCGCTCACTATCATGACGTTGAGGGCCATATGGACTTCTGGCCTTCCCAGAGATTGCAGCATTTTCCTGCAATACCCGAAAAAAAATAAATCGGTGTTATGCATTGGATAGTTAAGTATTTCTTTGGAGCACTAAATGTTTTTACTTAAGCTACCATCTCCAAATATATTTATATTAAATTAAAAAAGCAGGTGAATACCCTTTAATTCTCCTATACTGAAAGATGTAAGACTTGAGATTTGTAAGATAAGTGTGAAACTGTGATTTATCAAAACTCTTTAATCATTCACTGCAATATTGGCTTAATACCCGCCCTAGGTCAGCCGATTTCCTATCCTAATAGAAAAATTACCCTTAAAAGAGGATTACAAATCCAGGGCAGAAAATAAACCTATCTTCACTAGCAGCTGTTTCTGGAGATGTGCAATATTTTTCTTGGGCAATGATTAATAAGTAAGAACTCACTGAATGCCATTAAATAAAGATCAGCTCTGTAGTTCCAAAGCTGGAAGCAGATCAGCAGCCCATCATTTGCAGATTGGGTTTCTATGCACTACCTTTGTGTTTAATGTTCCTAAACAAACTGCCATAACTCAGCCTTTCCTAGAGAAGCAGCCTGTTAACTTGACCACCGGCCAGAACCTATTAATAAACAATGTGGATGTAAAAATGAGCAAGTGTCTAAATAATTTTACCAGACATATTTGACGTGGCTGTTTGGAGCCCGCTCAACATGTTGATCATTTGGATGAGAGCGCTGCTTGGGAAGCTGAGAAAGTCCAGCTCCATGCAAAATACCTGTGGTAAGAGAATTTCAGTTTTTTTACTAGTTGTTTTCTGCAAAACAGTTACATGTTGCAGTGATGTCATCTGTTTAGAGCAGTTCATAAAATAGTGCAGATCCAAAATGATGTCACATCTTTGGAAGCTGTGGTCAAGATAATTCATTAAATATTACAATGTAAGAGTTGTGCACTTAACCCCAGTGATCTTGCATTAGAAAGAAACAAAACAAAACAAAAACCCACTGAATGTTCTTAAAATCAGCCATACACTAGCAATTAAGAGAAACATAATGCTCCTGAGAGCTATCATTTCAGAGTGGGATCGGACACATCACTTACAATTTATGTATAAAATTCAAGACCATTGTTAACTTCCTTGCTTAGTATTAAAATACTTCCATGTACGTGTCATGATCGGTACAAATTAGAAGGAAAGTTTGCCTAGATACTGTATTTAAATGTTCAGTTACTTAATCCAGCTGTTAAACACAGATCCATATACATTTATGAGATCTCCTGGGGCATCTGGTTTATTGTGAATTCTTCTTAGTGCCAGCACAGAATGGAGACTGCAAGGAGCTGTTAAGCAGGTTTCTAAATAGACTCTCCAGAACTGAAGATGCTACAGTGTGGGTGCTTTCAGGTGGCTTGTAGCCCTTTAAAAACAAGGCACAGCCACCAGAAAGAGATCAACGGCTTGCAAAAAAATTGCAAATAAAGTGGTTCCTAAATGTTTTTACAAGATAGATGGAAACTAGGATAAACAGTAAGCCTCAGTGTTATAAGGCTTAGGGCAAAGTTACTTTTTTAAGTAAACAAAGAAAACTTATTTTGTCTAATTAAGCATTCCACTGAAGCTAAAGGCATTTTTGCATAAGGGTGTCAATAACTTAGATTCCTTTTTGCACAATGGACAATAATTTAAACAAAACATCAGCACTGAAAAAAAATCCACCAACTTTAATTTTTAACACACATGTTGATGGTAATACTTAAAAGCACCATCCCAGTTGCAGCAGTTGGCTTACTGAGGTTCTCAGCATTATGTGAGTGAAAATGTCATTTACAGATGGAGAAAGAGAGAACATGTGTTTAGTTCTGTGTGGTCCCCCACCCCTCGGTCCCCCCAAGAGGCATGGTCCCACTTCCAATCCAGTTGTGGGTAAGACTTACTCAAACTCTTATGTGTTTTCCTCTCACGCACTGTCAGCTATTATTGATACAGTTTTTACGCTTTTTCCTGGCTAACCCTTTTTGTCACATGCTCTTGGAAAACATGATGTGCCGTATACCATAGCAGCAACGGGAAGTGTCCCTCTACTGTTGTGGGTAAAGACTGCACTGGAGTGAACTCCAGAAACTGTAATTCCCCAGGCAACAAAGCTCCGTGTGGTCAGCCAGTAACAGATAAGTATTTACAGATAAGTGTACACCTATGGGATGCATAATTCAGAGCAGCAGCTATTATTTATGCTCATGCAAACGAGATAACTCTAAATAATTGCCCTGACTTTATCTAACAACCACTTTAATAAATTAAACTATTCAGGCACTTGCTGCAGGTATGTTAGTAGCTTTTTCCTTAAACTGGTTGCTTTGAGTTGCTGAGTGGGGCATTTGTAAGGGGAGGTGGGGAGATGGAATTCTGAACTTAAGCTCCAGGAGAACTGCTACCCTAACCAGTATGTTACAGAAAATAAGTTATGATTAAACACTTTAATCTTCAGGGTTTGTTTGTTATAGCGAGGCAAAATTAATCCCGAAACATTTGCATTAACGTGAAGGCTCTGCCCACCACGGCCACCGCGCTGCGCCTGGCTGGAAAGCCCCGCGGCCGCTGCGCTCCAGCTCACAGCGGATGTTTCCCACTACGCAGCCCACTCGCTTCTCCCAATAACGCAACTCCCTATTTATGTAAAGATAACACGGCTCTTCCCTCGCTGTAGCAAAACAATCTCAAAATAATGCTCTAATTGGGGATAGTGTTGCTCAATTATATATATGTCAAGAACCCTTTTGTGGCACATATGTTTCTGTAACTAATTTTACTGTATTCCAAGAATTACTTCATGGTCTCTGCGCTCTCTCTTTCTGGTGCTATACGAGACTGATGTGTAACACAAGGGAGAAGCATAACAGGATTTTTAAGAAAAGGCACACACATTTATAACTATTCAGCTGGAGCATTTCTAAGCCTTTCTCTATGGCACGCAGCTCCTGAGTCATGGAAGCTGACACAGCAGGCTGTGTTCTGCTGTGTTCGGGGGCTGTTTTCAAGACCTGCTCACGCACATTCAAACGGCGAGGCCGGGACGCGGAGTAACTCACCGTAGCCCGTCTGGGAGACAAGCTCCGCCGCGCCGCCGATGGGCTTGGTGAAGACCCCCATGATTCCCTTTCCCACTCCGGAGATAACGCCTTTGGCTTTGTGCCCCGCGGAAGCTTGGCCCTCGGATACTTTCTGAAAATTCTGCATCGGCTGATCTACAATACCGGCAATTGCACCTGGAAAAACAAGAGCCCCCAGTGATTAATGAAGATTAATATCCCGGAATCGCAGGAAATCTTACTACTGGAACTGAGCGCTGTTTGCGTTACAGACTGAACCCCACCCGTCTCACATTGCTATTTACAGTACACACAGGCTAAACATCTCCTCAGCTGAAGTTTAAGTTAAATCTCTGCTTCCTTTTTGTGTATTTTACTTTTTTCAAAAATCCACATCACTTAACTCGATAGTATGTTTTCGTCTTTCAACTACTTTCACTAAATTCTTTCACTGAGTTGCTGCGATTTAGCTCATCCTATGTAGCAATTCTGAAATCGTTGGGCTTGGAATAAAATCCATCAGTTTTAGGACACTTTAGCAGTTATGGAAATGAGATTTTCATGTAAGCCTGAGATTGACTCCATGAGAATAAAAACTGCCTGTATTCAATAGATCATTTTTACATCCTCTTCCACTGCCAGAAACGTTCATAAGCTAATGCAACTTCTGATATACTACTAAGATTAGCAGAATTAGACTTTGGGACTTTTTGTTACTTTTTTGTGAAAACGATCATATTTTACTTTAATGTGCCTGGGTCAAACTTTTACAAGTGACACAGTGACCTTCCCAGCTTTTAGTATCAACAGAGAACTTCAACTTAAATCTTCCCAAATGTAAACAGGTATGTGAGGTGGTACGTTTCTTTGATCTTGTGTTTACCCTAGCCACTTAACCACAGACATGTCTCTAGTTATTGTAATTTTGATAGATAAGCTATTTGGAAAGGGCTAAGAGCACGATGACTGGCCCAAGTGACATCGGGACCGGCCCGCTGGCTCTGAAGGCCTTCGCTCGGGGCGAAGCAAGCGCGGGGGCTCCACAAAGAGGTTCCGCTTGCAGCTTCTGCTGCAAATACCCAGATAAAGAAATTCCTGAAGGGGCAGGCGGGATGTCACTGCGGCCACCAGGCGTTTTTACTGCAACGTGGGCATCTTCGGAGATCCTGCTCTGTATGTGGAGCAAACCCGGGCGCAGTTCCGCGGAGCCTGACAAGCCCCATGTGTTCCCCAGAGCCACGCGCACCCGTCCGCTGGCTGCTAACTGCTCTTCAGATGGTTTCAGTTACTGTCAATCGGATAAACGGAGAAGTTGCTGACTTTGAACAACCAGAACTAATATTGCACTGGTACACTGGCATTCACTCCAAATAAAGGACGCAGATGAGGAGGAGGACACGTCTCCCCACATCCCATTTGCTGAAATGTTACCCATCGGCAACTCACACAGCCTGGGAGCCCCATAAACATTTCTCCTCTTAGAGATACTGCTTCCATCTTTTGTATGTATATGATTTACTGATAAATGCACAGTATTTCTTCAGAAAATGCTGACCTGTTTTTATCGCGACACTCAGTTTTGCCTGAGCTCCCTCCCCAAAGCTGTGTGCTCCGCTCGGCTTCTGCTCTTTGCACCACAAAGGTGTTATGAAGCTATGAAGCTTCAAGCTGTTAAGCTCCCTTAATTCTGGGCCACGGCAGTGATACAATTTCCAACATGACTGCTTCATTAGTACTAAAATAATATCCCCTCCTGGCATTACACAGCTGGCACCGTTCGTCCCAGTCTCTCTTTTGGGTGGCTGTGGTGCATTTGAAGGCATAACCCAATACTTGGTGTTCTGCTGCGTTCACAGGATTACGTTACCCTGTGACCTCCTTCACCCTATCTCTCGAGGTCATCCGCAGCAACTGCACTTTCAGAACAGAAGTTATTGCCGTATTAAACGTAATCCACCTAAGTCCTAGCACTAGTAAATTATTTACTGCAATACACTTGAGCAATGTTATAAGGTAATAATAAATAAGAGCCTACTCCAAAGGACCTGTGGTATGCTCCAGGCACTTCTCAGCTGGAATTAGGCCCAGAGGACAAGGAAACAGAATGGAAACTGCTGTGACTCTGCTATGTAAGATTATTTATATAGTACCCCAAATAATACAGAGCTTAATTAGCCACTTGTTTAGTACTTCCACACTTGCTGTTATTCTGCCATTTTGTGCATGCTCTGAACTTGCCTGTGAAGCCACCACCCTTTCATCCTTCAAATGCTTTTGCAAAACCTGTCTTGGTACCTGCAAAAAATACGACCAATGGTCTTGCTTGCTCTCTCTCTCTCCCCTCACCCCCTCTAGACTCTTATCTCGTGTTGTAACTCAGTGGCACAACTCATTCACGTGCCGGGGTCATGCCCACGAAACTCGTATAAACCTACTCCTCTAACTGAGCTTGAGCTCTCTGCGTGCCTGTGGCTGGGTCCTGTGACCCTGGAGAGGGAAGCCAGCTCTGTGCAGCGCCTCTCCTGCCTGCAGCATGTGCGGCCGAAGGCAGGAAAGGTTAAAGGCTGAACAACCTCCAAGCCAAGCCAGTGAGATCCTGGAGAGGTGCGGCTGATGGCAGCTGAGCCGTACAAAGACACTGTCCCCGATAGCCGTGCGGCTCCCTCCTTCCCGACGTACGGCAGTGGAAGCAGCAGCACGCAGGATGTCCCTCCCTGCAGCGGGGCATCTGGGAGGCAGAACGTGGGGTGTCCCTTGTGCTTCCTCCCATCCTCATCTCACCCGCACAGCCTGCAGACAGCTACACTGAACTCCTGCTGTCACTACCCTTTCCCTTCATGTCCCCCGTCCGTTCGCTTTGTTTCTTTACAAAACAGTTCCCCAGTTTGTTCTCCCTCCTCACCATAGGCTTTCAATTTTATATGCATGTCCACATATGTACACACGCATTATGCATGTATAAAGAAAACCCCAATAAAATTAAACACCAAAGCAACAAAACAAAAACATATTCTTCTGTTACTGGACCAAAGACGTTCCAGCAACACCATAACATCTGCTAAGCATCAGCTGGGGTGCGCTCCAGTTAATATATGTTGCTGAGTATTCATAAAAAGATACTTTGATAACTACAAAATTGGGATAGTTCAGAGTATGTCACGGTATTACTTCAAGAAGAATCTGATTAGCGCAGGCAACTGGTTCCTGCTCAGAAAGCCCCGCAGTGCTGGTGGACGTGGCAAAGGCTCTGCTTGCAGGAGTCGGCAACGCTCAGCTCACACAAACCAAGAAATATTCAGGAAAAAAATGCCCCCACGTGAAGCTGTCCGTGTTTTGCCATGAAGCTGGAAGGTAACAAAACTGAAACCATTTTGTTCCTTTTTCTTTGTTTCCTGTTGCCCGGCTGCATTGCTGAAAGTCTTCTATGCTCTGAAAATATGGATGGCAGTCACCACGTGGCAAACGGCTCATGAAAATATAGTTAAAATAAAAAAAAAAGTTAAGTGTGCATTAATAAATTTGTAGGATTAGTGTGTGAAGCCACGAGATCACCAGGGCTAATGAGACTGTCTCTTACTATCTCGTTCACAGAGAGCCTAATGTAAAGTGGCCCTGATTAAGTGACAGCTACAAAACAACAAAAATAACAACAAGAATCCTTAATAATATAAATGTGAGCTTTCAAAATTTAGATTTTACGATGTCTAACACCCCAATTACACTGTCAGCCACTATTACTATCAATTTGTTTCACTGAGAGCAGCAAAGCAGTTAACTAGTGTGCACAGCCCTGCAGATGTTGTGCTTTCTTTGTCAATGCTCAGTTTCCTGAAGGAAGCTACTTTGATTCCTTATTTTCCATTAGAGCAGCAGTTGAAAATAAAGTCCATCGTTTCAATATTCTCTTTTACGCTGCATAAATTATTGTTTTAAGCTTGACCCTGTCATGCAAAATGCAGAGGATAACTCCTTGGCAGAGAGTGCCTATCATCTAAATATTTTAAGTACAATTTCACTACTTTTTTTTTTATCTAATTGCTTGAAAGAAAAACACACCTATCAAGAGCTTTTGCTTCTTCTCAAGTGCAAATGTTACTAGAAAGACCCAGAAGTCTCCCCCAAACTAGGGAAGAAGAAAACAGCCAGCCAAAGATAACAATCAAATCAAACAACACCCTGACAGTGCCTGAGTCATTTAAAACTAGACAGGACAAAGCACTTAAGAATGTACCACAAGGAACAACTTGCACTGAGAAGGAGACAAGAGTACACGATTTTGGCCCCGATTCAGCAAAGCTCTTAAGCACAGGCTTAAGTGCTTTGCTGAATTGGGGCCACCGAGAGCCCGATTTTCAGAAAAATCAGAAGTGAAACTGTTTTTTTCTATGTAAATAGCACAACGTATTGGGGATTTGAGTCCTCGTACACCCTTGTGCCTAGGCATGACATCTGCACTGCACTTCTTTCAGCCACTTGCACGATTGGGATGGATTTTATAAACATGACAGTACTTTGACTACTTGTGCTGTTCAGCTCTTTACAGTTTTCAGTCCTGCAGTTGCAAAATCATAGAAATTGTGGCTCTGAAGGGGTGCACTATCTGCATTTTTGTACTTATCTGAACTCTTCATGCTTGCAAAGGAAAATAACATAGCTGCTCCGTTTTGTTTCATTATGTATGAAGAACCTGGAGGTATTTTTAGCGTAAGCATTTTCGTGTTTACTCTAAATGTGCTGGTGAAAGAAAGCAGCACAGTGGTACCTCTCTTCAATGCCAACTGTTTTTTGGGGATAAGCCACAATATTCATTAAACCATATGGTCAGGAGAGAAACGGCTTTCTGACGTGATTGCAAAAATTGCAACGCAGGTCTATTCATAGCTCAGATCTCAACACAAATTTCATGAATGCCGCTGTGTATACAGAGAAAACATTCTTTTAAAAATCAAGTTTAAATAAATATTTATGCGTGATACAACTTTACTGAAATATTTCTGATTCCTTGCTTAATGACAGGTCCTCTACTTGTCAATCCCAGTTACACAGTAACCTTAGGTATTTGTTTGGATGGTTAACTGTCTCTGCCACTAGAAATAGAGGTATTTAGCACTGAGGAATCTCTAAATAAAAACAGCAGGAGAAAGAACGAGACCCTTAATGCCTAGTTTACCGAGAAGTTCTGCTTAATGCTAATACAAGTTTAATGTTTCTTCTAACATGAATTTCTTAGGACATCGTGCACACAGAATTATATTTTTTATTTTTCTAAGCTCAGAAGCCTTCCCACAAGGAAAGCCTCACGCATAGGAACACAGTAACACAACATGCATTTGTGAATGTGTATCCTAATTCCTGTTTTTCCTGAAGATCCGAGTTGCTGCAGCCAAAGATACCAAGTTTTGCTCGTCAGCTCGGGCTGCAGCAGCTGATGCTTTCAGCCCTGTGGGCTCTGGTGCGTCGGTCAAGGGGAGAGCCACGACGTTATCTTGCTGCCTTATTAGTAACGGAGCCAAGCTCCCCGAAGCCTTTCACCAGCACACACACACACCAGGCTGACACGCTGCTTCTAAAAGTATAATCTTTCATCCAGCTACTCAACCTGACTGCCCTTAGCCCAATAAAACAAGAAGGAAAAATAAAACCTTCTCTGAGCTGCCTTTGATTTGCAACCCCAGTAAGGGTTTACTATTGGGATAGTAGCTACTAATATATGAAATTGCTCCTTTATGCACATTTCTCTCAGGACACTCGCTTGCCAGTTTACAGGCATTATCAAATGACAGTGCTTCACATCATCTAATGTTATTGCTTAAAATAATTTCCAGTAACTTAACCCAAACTTGTAACATTTTTACCACTTCCTCTTTGGGGCTTTCAGGGTTGCGGTTGCAAATTTAGGAGTTGTGTACACTACTGAAGATTAGGAAAGAGGGCAAATCCTTTCAAGCTTCAGCTCTTCTAACCTTTTGCACTGGACTGCTTTTGGTCACTTTGATCTCTAAGGGATTCATACTCTTTAATACGTCCTAAGGAACTCTGCCAAACAACACAACTCTGCATTCCTTTGCAGTGGGACAAATAGAAGCAACCTAGAAAATCCCGTTCCTTACTGCAAAACTTCTTTCAGAGATTCTCTGGTGAGGGTCAGTTTTCAAACGTTTAAGTGCTATTTTGAAAGGGCCAGAGAAATAGTCACCTCTGACCACGGCACTTGGCTGCTTCGTGAATACAGTCGCCCTGAATCAGGTTGATCTGGGTATCTCTGTAAAACTGAAATTCTTCCTCAAAGCTTACTTTTTTTTTGCAGTAAGTTCACGTGATTTTCAAAGATGACCAAGAACCCCCAATATCTACATTGCAGAAGAAAAACAGTCAGTTTTGGAAGACATTCCTAAAACTCATTGGAAAGTGGGCATCAGCATGATGACGTCTTTGTGCTGACTGGGTTACAAGTCACCCTGCCCTGGACAGAATTATTCTTTTCTTCTGAGCTATACATCATATACCAGGGAAAACATTTCACAGAGACAAAAGAGTGCAAATTTGATCATTTCTGCAATTATTTTATCAGAAAAAAATATTAAAAAGTCACTATACACCTGGATAAACAGAAACAGCATCACATATGCATACTGTGTGCCTATTTCAAAAGAAAACAAACAAACAAACAAACAGATGCTGCAATTACAACTTGCAAGCAGAAAAGGCTGATGAGCAGATCACAAAACAGCAGTACCACCCAACTAGATATTTAAGAGCACATTACCTAGCAGGCTAATGCCTAAGCGGGACAGCCCCTGCCGGAGTCCTTCTCCCAGGTTCTCGGGCAGCTGCCTTCTCCATTCCTCTTGCCTGTTGTAGTGCTCCTCATCCAGTGACAGCCTATCCATATTTCGAGCAAGGCTCGTTGCCAGATTGGTAATTGACGTCAGTGTACCTAAAGACATGGAGATATACATTTGGGTCCGGATCAGAATGCTTTAATTTAAACCACAAAGATGTTCGGTGCCTCATTGGAAAACTGTGCTTACGAGCACAACAGTTTCAAGGCAGTTGAAAGGCTGCCCATGTGCAACATTCTCGAGCGTTTGTGAAGCATCAGCGAGTGCTTCTGTGCTCCACGTCACGCCTTTTACATTAGCCCTCACCAGGTCTGCCTGGCCAAGAGGGAAAACCCAGCTCATCCTTCCCTGGTTCCCACATTTCTGTCCCTCTAAGCTAGCTGCAATGGGGGGACGGAGAGGTGAACGGGTATTTACTGAGGGAGCCCCCAAGGAAGGCTCCCGAGTGAATCCTGACGGGAGCCGCGGGAGCCACACGATGGCACTGTTTGAACAGGCTTCGCCATGCAAAAGCTTTAAATCCAGATCTGCCCTTCTGTCAAAACCTATCCCCGTACTTACAAAGTTATGACAACTGTATCTACTTTTGAAAAAGGAATAATAAATATGATGAGGCAACGCGGGGTAGGATTTCTGATGGCTAGCAGAAGTACAGAACACCTTTAGTATTTCTGAAGTTATCGCATGAAATACTGGCTGAGCCAATCTCGCTTTCCCAACGGGAGGTTTAAAACTCTGAAGTTTCTGAGACATTCTTGCACGCTGCAGTTAAGCAGTGATCTGTTTAATACATAAGATGTTATATATGGGCTTTGTTACCCTCCCAGCATTTCCCTGCAACCTAGCAAGCCAAGCAGAGCTGCAGGCAATATTGTTTGAAACTTTAACACATCCTTTAACAGCGCACGACAACAAAGCAGGAGTCGGAGTAACAAAGTGAAGGCTCTACCTTTGGAAATGTGCTTTACAAATGACGTTGTTCCTCTGGAAACTCCACTGACAAACGCTCCTGGGCCTCTGGTCAGCCCTTCATATGGGAGCCTAAAGAAATCCGCTATGCCATTCCCTATGCTTCTCACCAGGCTAGCCGGGCTTCCGAGGATTTCCAGAGATCCAACAACCCAGCCTGTGCAGAGAAAGGAGACAAATGTTACGGCTGCAAAAACTGCAGAAGCAGCAGTTGTGAAAAGGTTATTCCTTAATTCGCTTTTTCACACTAGAATTCATCACATTATGAACTTCCTTTGAGCAAAACACGGGAAATAACTCATCCACTATGAATTCAGAGATGGCAATCTTTCATACTTCGTAAATCAAAGAAATCCTTTTGGCAAACTCACAAATAGCTTTAGAATGACTTCCTTCCAGGAGCTTCCCGTATTTCTGCTAAAAGTGTGTTAGGGAGATGGATGCTGGATCCTCACAACTAAGGAGAACTAGCCCCGAAAGTTTAGTCTGCTCCATGGGTTTTACATACTGGAAGGCAACGCTGTGATTTCACATCCCCGAGTGATAGAGCCATGACAGCAGGTTTACACTGAGACAACGTGCTGCTTTACGGGAGTGTGGAGGTCAATTGCTTGATGGAGTGTTAGGAAAGGGGATGCAGATTTCTGACAAGTGCTTAAGAAGTTATTTTAAATCCACCCCAACCCTTCTAAGCTGATCATTTTCTTTCGCAGTGCAGCGAAAGCCAGGCAAATGTCTTTTTCTCAGTGCAGTTGTGTAAACAGCAATGACATCTACATGCTGATTAGGTTACTCATAGGGGAGTATTCCTTATGCATATCCCAGGAGAGGCATCTGTGGATCTGGTTTCCTATATAAATGCAGAGTTGCCAGCAGCTTGCTGGATGGCCAAGTGCACTCTGCTGTAAGTCTTGCTGGAAAGCCGGTTGCAGGTCCTGCCCTCCTCAGGCTGGTTGGCAGCAGATTTTTTTAGGGAAATGGGGCTGCAAAACTGTTTTTTCGGCCATGCAGAGAGAATGATTCGGAAATGCAGTAAAAATTAAACAGGAACCGCTTGGTCGCTGAGACTCAAGACGGTGAATTTCAAGCAGGGCTGCCAGGAGGACACGAGGCACGACAGGGACGGAGGGCTGCAGGACGGGCCGTTTTGCCTCCTGCTCTCCTGCTGCGAGCCCTTGGTTTGCGTTGCCCTCCTCATTCCCATCTCGTCACCGCAAACTCCTGCTAGCCAGATGCTTTTCTTGTTTTCTAGTAACCCCTCCCAGTCACTCCCGTGGAAGGCTGAATCATGAAACTGAACAGAAGAGAAAATGTTACTCATATGAAATGAATTAATCTCATACTATCATTCTAAGCTCCCGGAAAATCTATTATTCTTGTCGAATCTGTCCCACATTTCAGCCCTGGCAGGTTGCGAGCTACAGTACATGCAGTATAAAAAGTGGGAATCGCGGCGGACATGAGGGAGAGGGTGGGATGGGGCCTGAGAACAAAACCCAAGCACTGCTGGCAGCTCGGCGAGCACACGGATCCGCACACGGATCCGCACACGGACGCTCCGGCCCCGCGGCCGGAGAGGTGTGTCCCGCTGGCCCGGCGCCCCTGCGGGACCCGGGGGAGGCCAGCGCCCCGGGCCGGGCCTGCTGCTCCCTCGCTGCAGTATTTTTAACAAATTACACTTGCCACTGTGTGAAGTGATGAAAAGCTGCAGGGGCCGGGAGGCGTGCACAGAGGGAAGAGATGCTATTTCTGCTCTTCCTGATCAATAATGCTGCAATCATGGCTTGCAACCTGCAACATTTCCGTACTTTTTTAATGCTCTTGGAGTTCCTGAAGTAGTTGCTTCTTTCTTCAAGAAACCATGGTCAAAGTGAGGGCTTTGCAGCTGAGGAACACGGGATGGTGGCGCCTGAGAAGTCACCAGCACCAGCAGGGGTGGCCGGGGGCCTCTGCGAGGGGTGGGAAAGGGCTGCACGTTGTGAGGGGATGGAAAGGGCTGCATCTCGTGAGGGGTTGGACAGGGCTGCACATCAGGAGGGGATGGAAAGGGCTGCCCGTTCTGAGGGGTTAACGTGTTGCGGCACTGAAGCTCCTTCCCACTGAGAACATCGTTTGCCCGGCCCAAGATGGAAAGTGTGGGAGTAGGTCTGGAATAGGAAAAAGATGACACAGGAGCCGTCCTTCAATTCAGCAGCTCTGGGCTACATTTGACTTTGCCTTGCTGTAATATCATGTCAGAGGAACTTTTCCCTTTGGTATGCTTATCTACTAATACAAAAGAATTATGACTGTATTAGCAAAGTACCACTGTACTTTCTTTATAGGCAACTATAGGTGTTAGATCTGGCTAATATCAATAATGTTTTAAATAGAATTTTATGAACTTTTGAATAGAAACCCACTTAATTGGAAAAGGATGGGAGATTTCCATGGCAAGTTGGACTGATCAGTGCACTGGAGCAGAGCTCTCCTGCCCCATTCATTGCTCAGCAGACAGGGAATCCAGCCACTTTGCTGGGGTATGTGGGGAGGCCCGAGACAAACCAATTCGGGAGGTTTTGGGGTAAATCCTGCCCTTTTCCACAGCGCAGCAATGGCTCGCACACAGCTAGGGAGCAAAACTGCATGAGAGCTTGCAGTGAGTGCAAGGCCTCAAGGAATGGGAACACCATTTGTGAAAATGCTACGTGATCTATGCACGGGACAGGAGCGAGCAGAAGAGGGGCAGAAGACCCTCATCTTGCAGCAGATTAACATGGTTTACATACAGGACAGTGACCTCTCCCACAACAGCCCATCCAAGAAGTGCAGCTCTCCTGACTGGGCTGTGCAATGGGGAAGTTTTGAGGGTTTACAGACCATGCAAAGCTTTCTGCATGAGATTTTCCTCCTCCTTAACTTTGTTGACAGTCAGCCTTTTGACAAGTGTCACAAACGCTTCAAAATGAAGCAGGTTCAGTGTTTGCTTGGGCAGACAAAATTACACAGAAGTCACCATTTGAATCACAGAAATTCTTTTCAAAAACACACTTTAGTTCTATTGCTATGACTGAGATTTAATTAATAGCTGAATATATGCTTATGTGCTTTCCTGAAAAGCATGTCCTGAAAAGCAAACATAATTTCTGAATATTTAAATCTTCTTGATTTCAGCTTTGTCAGGAGCCCAGAGCAAGTGCTGGCCGGCTGGCTGCTGCGCTCTGCAAGAGCAGTGCAGGAGGGAAAAACAGCATCAGGCTCAGGAGCCCAAAACCAGCATATGTGCTTCACCTGGGATGCTGCAGATGAAAGCCAATATAACCCCAATTTCCTGCTGCAGTCTATCACCACTCACATCACCTCTCCCATCCAGTTGTGGGGAGGTAAATTCACACTGTGGACCACAATTGGCCACAGTTTCCCTCTTAATTAGCAAGAAACTGGATCTCCCCTTTTGTACTATGGGATTTGACTGTAAAACAAATCCGATCAAGTAATAAAAAGAAAAACCTGCAATTTTTGCAGCCACCTTACATGTGAAAATAATGAATCGGCCTACAGCATTATGGTGCACAAGTGTGTATACAGTTGCCATAATCAGGTATACACAGTGTGAAAAAACGGATCAGGATCTGACTGTATTTATAAATACCTGGAATGCATGTGTACAATTCTCCTAACTGTGCACAGAAATCAAGTCACAGCTATGTATGCAGCACAAACAAAATGTTGGATTTCAGCAAATCTGACCATCAGTACATAGGAAAATAAATCCAGTGCTGCAATATGGAGTGCATTACTTGCATGTGATCACGGAGGAGCCTTCTCCTCCCTCAGGTACAAATTCCTTTGCACATCAAGATACAGCAGAGACCATTTTTTAAAATTATTTATAAGTTAATATTTATGGGAAACAGAATGTACCTGCTGGCCTAACAGACTAATTGCTCACTATTGATCCTATTTGGGAAAAAGTTAGAAGCCGCAAACTTTGTAGGTCTTGGATCAAAGGACAACAAACATCTGGGTGCCAGTTTAGCATGAAGGCTCTATGAAGAAAGACAGATTCCTAATCATAAACTGCAGCCAAAAGGAGTTTTAACAACAAAACAACATTCAGGGCTATAATTTACTTCTGAATGCAGAGCAACATGCTGAATAATTTGATTAAGTGTAGTTTTGGGGAGCTTATGTGAGGAATGCGGGTTGATTTGGACTAGTGCTATAATCTAAAATGACAAAAACTAAGCCAGCTAGAATCTACAGCTAGAAATTTTTATGCTTTGTTCAGGGTTTAGAAAAGTCTTCAGGCGGCTGGTTAATGTTTACCACAACTTTACAAATCTTCACTGGCGTCTGCTCTGCCATTTTATTTCCCCTCTGTTATATGGCAGGACATGAAATGTGTCTCAGAATATCATATCATTATCAGAAAGTGTCTGAGGAGAATAGAAATCACACGGCTGATGTCTAGATTATGCAGTTTGAGAAACAATTACTAAATCCTAATAAAAATGTTACACGTTAAGAAAATGTACTGACCTGCTCGGAAAAGGGCTCCAGCAGCATAATGCATGGCCAAGGCATGGACGAGTTGTCTGGCAGTGGTGAAGATGGGTCCTCGCTCAAACACGGAGAAGGACAGAGGGGTGTGATCTGAGGCTATATACAGTTTTAACGAAGCATGAATACTGACGAGGAGATTAACAGGTTGTATTGTTAATTTGCTTAATTTCACTGGCTTGACTAAAGCTCTTGCATGTTCTCTCACTTGTTTGGGCAGTATAAATGTAATATCTGTAGTGTTTGTGGACTGACAAATAGCTTTGTTTTGTGGAAGATACGTATCAAACAAAGTCTTAATGTAGTAAACAAAGGTGTCTTCCACATACAGCCTAGCTGGTTTGAGCTCAAAGCTGAGGTCATTAATGTGAAACATGAATTTCTCTTCCTTGGACAAAGCAATGTAGACTTTTATAAAGCAGTTTTCCTTATAGTTTTCCAAATCCTTGTTAGACACAATGAGGTTGCTCACTCTAGACCACTGCACGGTCTCATTTTTCTCTCCTTGGCAAAGCAGGACTTCAAAATGGAAATTGGATTTGTTGTACAGCTGGTTGTCCAGTTGCAGGTCTTCACAATACATTTGGAGACTGTAAAGTTGTGGGAGGCCTTCCCAGGCGTCTCGTGGGAGCTCCTGTGCCAGGGGTCTCAGGTCGCTGGCTCCTGGGGCCAGGTGGAGGAAGACGTTGTCTGCCGTGAGGCGCAGGAGTTCAGATGACACTTTGTGATTTGTGATATCATCAAACACAGCAAGACTTAGCTGATTGATGAACAATTTCAATAAAAGGGTCTGCTCTTGGTTTCTAGGGAGGAGGAAAAGAGACTGTTATTTTACCCATTCTGGGTTCACCTGGCATCTTGTTTTCTCAAAAAGCTAGCAAGAGACATGTTCACTTTAATACTTGGGAAACTCCATGTGTAAATAATGAGAATTGGCAGGCTAAATCACCACAGCAAGTATGTACCACCCAGGAGGTCCTCTCAGAAATGGAATACTGCAGATCTGTGCCAGCTTTCTCCTTCTCCCTTATCAACAAGATAGCTTGGACAGGAACTTCTCCATATACACACTAATTCCCTATTATATTTGAAACATAGCAGGATATTAGAGCAAGCAACAAATAAAATTTCCTGATAATTCAAGTGCAGCTTCAGCTGTTTTAGTATTTTCTTGGAGCCACTACTGAAGGTTACTATTACGGATAATTCATTGCACATTATGGAAGCAAAATGCCCTCCAACTAAACCACCACTGCATTTTTATAATGATGGTATTGAGCCCCCCCCCCACCTCCAGTGTTAACTGCTCTTGGCCAAGTTTAACTAGCAAGTGGGCTATTATATACTGCTGATGACCAATTTCTCAGGGATTAATACTTAATTATAGCTCAAATAAAAACAGTACAACACACATTCCACTCTAATTGTAACACCACTGCTGCAGGCCAGACATTGTGTGCATTAAAAATAGGTAGTGTTACAATCACACTCGAACGGAGCAGAGCGCCCGGCCGTGGGGAACTACACATGTGGCTTAAGAGTCTCCTAAGGAAGAATGGTGCAAAAATAATCAAGTATACGGTTAATTACTGAGTGTAAGACTGTTTCTACAGCACTTGTACATCAAGCTTCCTACCAGTTTTCATGGGAGCATTTATGAGTAAGGATGGCAGGATGTGCAGAAATACATTTTACACTTATGAACATACTTAGAATTAATTAGGATGGAAAACATGTTTTTTCAGCGAAGACTTGGGACTTCTCATTGTATCAAACATATAGTGAAGTGACCCTGAAGTGACATGATTTTTGATGATAGTTTTTTTTTTCTGTTCTTTACAATAAACATTTGAGATGCACAAAACGAAACATGTGGCCTAAAGAGATGTCACAGAGCATGGAGCAGTATGAAGCTAAACAACAGTTAACCCAATGTTTATAAGTCAGCTCACATTTATTCAGTGCAATTTGGCAATTCTTTTAATGATCTTTTATGTGCTTCACATACCTGTTGAGGTTGATCTCAATGGGTCCTGCTTTTCCTTCTGGGGCCAAAGTTATTATTATTGTTCCACACTGATGGGCAATGTCCACATAAACATAGCCAAAGCCAGTTAAGAACACAATCTAGTGGAGAAAGTAAGAAACAGATGGAATGCTACTGAAATTACTCTTTTTTAATCTGTTACAATTTGAATTAATCCTATTAATGCCTTCCGGTTGGGATCTTTTTACTCAAATCATAATATTAGCAAAAGGAGAAAAAGGTTTCAGTTCTTCAGAAAACACTAGCTCTGGTATTTTAAGTATTTCGGCTGTAGAGCAGGATGAAATTTGCCCTTCATTCTTTAACTATATAACTAAATACATTTTAATAAGCAAATTCTCCTCCAGGATTGAGCAATATCTTCTGGCGGAAAAGATTAGATAAGAAAATAATAAATAGAAAAAAATATTTTCTGAGATTGAACTAAAGAGAAATGGACATTTCTGTAGATGTGCAAAATCCCACTTTCTCCTCTGCAAAAAAAAAAAGAAAAAAAGAGAGAAGAGAGAGAGAGATAGAGAGAGAGAAAGAAAGAAAGGAAGAGAGAAAGAAAGAAAGAGAGAAAGAAAGGGAAGAAGGGAAGAAGGGAGGGAGAAAGAAAGCTTCTGTTGCTCAGCTCTAGCTCAGAGATGCTTAGATCAATGGCTGATAGGATGACAGGAAACATGACAATAAAATAGAATATACATTTTAGTTAAACAAAGGATATACTGGTTTTGGACCTTAACCATGCAAAATTTCCACAGAAGTTTTGTTTTCTTCTACTGCATAAGAGATTGAGGCTGCATTTGGGTTTGGAAAAATTGGAGTAATTCTTGTTATCTTGATGACAACAGGACAATCTGGCTTTGTTTCCTTCAAGTCTAACCATCAGCAGAATCGTTTACTAGACTCCAAGGACAGAAACTGTCATTTAAAAGAATACAAACTAAGAGAGTAATGCCAAGATATTGGGCTAGCACAGGTGAAATGAACAGTTGTTTTTCTTGGTCCCTCCTGTTAACAAGTCACCAGAAGGAAAAGTAGTTGGGAATCTAGCTATGCTATTTATAATAACATTGTACAAATAATTACTATTAGTTCAACACTTTGTGTCTTATTCTTCTCAGAGTTACCTATAAAAATGCCTGATTTGTCAACTTTATTCCTTTGCTTACCTGAAAAGTGTTCTCAGTTCTGCATTATAAAATTGGAGGAAAAAAAGGACATATACTAAATTTTCACTACATCTCAATTATTTTGTAAATCCTGAAGGGTCTTAAAATTGGGTCCTTTATATTCCAATATCAAATCATTCTGATTTGATGTATTTGATATATATTTGATATATTCCAATATCAAATCCATCTGATGATGGACAGTAGAGTTAAACAATGCAAGTTTCTTGGCAAGAGAGCACAAAGTACCTATTGGTGACTAAGTAGGCACAAAATAAGTTATTTAAAATCCCAGTTATTTCACAGTCTGAATTGACCTGCACATGAAGAAGTCAAAGCTAAAGCTATTAGCACTTTCATTATTTATTTCAAGTATTTACAGTTTTCCGAGAGAAAGACTGAGAAATCCTTGGGAAATTCTCTACATGTAAACCCTAAAACTTCAATAACAAAATGCTACAATTTTTATTTGGCTTCATGTAGACAATGATCCCCAAATGTTGTCTTAGCATCTAATTCCTTCTAGGAGCCAGATACTTATAAAGAACCCTGGTCTGGCATAACATTAATGACTGAAATTTGAAACCTTGCATTGCTTGACTTGCTTGCTGAATGGAACTGAACTACTTGCTATATAACATAACACTCAATAATCAAGAGCATTTTGTGATTGGTCCCCAGGGAAAACATCTGAAACTAGTATTTCTTTCAAAGAGCCAAGCAGTTTATGTTGATTCCATGTAAACTAATGACTTCAAAGATGGAAAAAATTCCGATGAAAAAGAATTACTCCAGTTAAGGAAGTTTTCATTTACCTCAAAACAGGAGAAAAATAACAGAAAGAAAGAAATGTTTTTGCTGTTGTTGTTGTTTGTTGTTTATTTGTTTCATTTAATAAAGACGCATTTAGCTTCTGCGAAGACACAGAGGGAGAATGACAGTGATGATTCCTACAAGATGTAAAAAAAAAAAAAAAAAAAAAAAAAAAAAAAAAACAACACTCTGGGATAATGAAGTTACCAAATGGAAGGATTTTGTTGGATCTTGAGGGATTCCAGCAGCCAGAAATTTTCAAAACTAGTTTTTCCTGGGGAGCTGTTTGGCCTTGCCAGGTTGATCAAAAGGAGTGAAAAACTTCAGCAGTAGAAACTGCGTATTTTTGATCTTTTTCTAAAAACACCCACTGAAAGAAGATTATCAATAATCTAAAACTTCAACAGAAACGGGCTTAGGAAGACTTCAATAATTAAAAAAATCAGTACAGAGAATATGTAGACAGCAGAGAAGCAGCATGCTGTGCAGATTCAGAAGACAGCCCTTTAAGTTGTTAACTAAGGAACGGTTTATAATGATTTACCTGTGTTCCTTGATTATTTATGTCCACAAAATCGCTCCATTCATTTACTAATTCATTGGATGATATCACCTTCAGAAGAATGCTGGGTAATAAATCTCTGGTTTTGCAATCTGGATAGCTGGAAACTTGATGGTAAAGTTCATGATGGACTGAACATTCAGCTGGGATCTTTCTACAATAAACTTCAAACTTTGGTGTATCTGAAATGTTATAAAATGCGTAAGATTAGATCTTTCTAAGTATCCATATTAAATTAAAACTCACCTATGCTTATACAAACTAGGAAGCTTCTAAAATGCTCTGTCTAAATATCACTACAAATAAAAATATTATTTTTCTATTGGTTGAAATTTTCTTTTTTTTTTCTTTTCTTTTTTTTTTTTTTACTTTTATTTACCTTATTAGGATTAATACAAACAACTTTCCACTGGTCATTATAATAATGCACTGTGACTGGAATTTTTACAGTATGTTTTGTGTTACATTTGCCAATCTGAGCAAATTCAAATGTTCCGTGGGATGTCAACAAAATTCCATTGTCTCCTAGTTTCCTATGGCCAAGGCACTTGATTCTCCCCCAGCTGGGCTGAAGGGGACACAAAAGCCTGAAGCCACCTGAGCTTCATGGTTAGCTGCAACAGCTTCCAGAATCCCTCGTTTTGAGAAGATCTTAAGGAGGCTGTCCAGTTCTTGTTCCACCCAAAGCACACACTGAACTGAACTTTATAAGGGACATGGAGTAAAACCATTGACACCACAACGGTACGTTGCTTATTAGCGCATGCTACATACCTTTGAAGTTCTCTTTTACAAGCAACGAAACAGAGCACTTGTTGTGGATAATGATGCGAGGACTAGGGTCTTCTGTAAGTGTTAGGTATGTCACACCGAGATGTTCTTGATAAGTCAGTGCTATAGCTCTAAAACAGAACAAGATATATTTGGCTAAGCAATTTTGGGGATGAAATTCATACGTATTATTACATTGGGCAACAAAACCATTCAAACCCAACATCTGTGAGATTCTTTATGACCAGGCTCCAACTTTACAGATACTTATACACCTTAAGACAAATACATAACTTCATTGAAAACTACATTTAAACAGAAGAGCACATGGAAATAGCAAGAAAGGCAACATGGAGAAGAAATCACTCACAGAGACTACTCATGAGTTAAATTAAGCACGTGTGCTTGCAAGATGAGAGCCCAGGCCAGCACAGATTTATATTAAATTAAAAACATGAGATTGTAGGCCCAAATTTTCAACATAAATCTTTAAAATTTTCCAGAAGAATTTGCACGCATACTTTTCTGGTACACATGAAAGTTATTTTTAACAAATACATAAATCTGTTACTGCCTACTCCCCTGGAATGATCCACAATGCTATCACCCTTTCAAATGTTAATGTTTTGGATCATCACTACATAAATTTTCAAAATGAAGATCAGTTAATTTTTCCTACTCATTAGCTACTTAGATGTATAATGTCTTCATGGATAAACAAAAAAAAACCATTTTTGCATGTGCAAATTTATGAGTTATTTCTAAAAATCTTCAACTACAGATGATTTTTAAAATCCCAAAAGTCTGAAGATCTGATTCTGATCCTGAGATCACTTATAGCTGTTTAAGGAATCCTTTCCTCCTTCTTCACATATTTGCTGCATTTTGGTATTGGAAATCTGCGTGGGAATCTTTACTGTCCACAAAGACACCTCTTAGATTCTGCAGGGGAACATTATGAGGGATTGAATGAGATGAAGTATTTCAGGCAAGAGAAAGACCATATGGCTGATAATTTATACTGATGAATCTTCACTGATTTCAGCAGACTCTTTCCTTGCTTACACCAGTAAAAGCCTGAACAGATTCAGATATCAGCTCTGAGAATTAAAGTTGGGCATCTGACAAGTCACTGGACTTTTATTTTTAACTAGTTGGATGCATTTGTTTGGAAGTGAAATGCACATTTGGATATCTCAGACTTTAAAACTTGGAAATCCTTTCCTGTCACAGTCTCAAAATAGTTTCTCCCTTGTATTGCTTCTTCCTGTTTTTGTCATACTTGCCTTACTAAAATGTATTTTTATCTTTTATAAACAAAAACTATATTTTTGTATTGTATTATTTCATGCTGCCCTTGAACTCTTAGTGTTTGAGACAAATTAAAAAAGACCATAATCTTGAATATAAACTTTTCATTCTCTTGATTTGCAAGCATATATACATAGGAGCCCAAATACTATAAAAATCATACAAGTTGTACATGATCATAACATTAAACCATTTATAATAAAAGCATCAAACCCATCAAAAGACAGCAATTTTTAAATTAAAATAAGACTTGCCTTTACATATGGGGGGCACGTGTTACTCTAGCGTTTGCTTTAAACTCTTAGGGTTTGCTACTAGCTGAGGCTTTACAGCAGCAATCAAAATTCATGATTCGAGACAGCTCAGCACACAGTACCTGGTACAAAATCCACTTTCATTACAAGCCCCTATGGGCACTGCCACGCTCTGTCTAGGCAACTCCTGTTTAATGAGGGCTGGCAGGCTCCAGAGCTCAGCACCGTCAGCAGAGGCACCTGGGCTGAAGCTCAGCAGGATGTGTTTTTGGGTAGGGGCTGCTCCTGAAGTTAGTGGGCCGAGGTCCGACACGACGTCCCAACACGGGACGGAGCCAAGTGTTTCGGTGCGTGGTGCCCCAGCTGGACCGACGCTGAACACGGCGCTGTCCGGGGAGCGGAAGGACTGCAGAGAGAAAGGATGACAGCAGGAAAACATGCTGCGTCGTAACAAGTTTAATCCTGTTTGCCTTTCACACGAACAGTTTAAAGTAGTCAGTTAACCACAACTAACTGAAAGTTGCAATGGGTGCACATGCACTAAAAAAATATTCAGCCAAATTCTGTCTTCAGTTATAGGCATGCAGTTAACTGAAGCCAGCTAACTATAGTCCTCTCTCTGTTGCACTCTGCCAAGGGGAACTGAGTTACATCACTGTAAAATAACTTTGAGAAGAAAATCCATTTACAGATATAAAATGAAGACTGGATTTTAGCATCAAAATTATTCCAGTTCCTCAAAAATTCCTCTAAGACTGCCACAAAATGCGCAGTGCACAAATGTAGATGCTCATGGGAAGGAAACTAATGCAAAAGTAAAAAGTAAAATTACAAAAAGAGGGAACTTTAAAATCATGTTTATCTGCCAACTCTCCCAGCAACTTGGTCTCTGAGAATTCTTTCCACATATCTAATAATAATCTTCAATAAATACATATAAATGGACGATTAAAATATATTGAGCATGCACACATATTGGTTACTGTAAGTTAGTCCTTGAGTATGCTGTGCTGTTATTAGAAAACTGATATTCACGATTTGATGCAGTTCCCTGAAATACATAAATTTTGGGCACGTCTCTAGTTCTGCAGCTTTATTCAGATAACTGGAATCTTCCCAAAAGGATAACAAAAGTATCTCAGCCTGGCAAGCCAAAATACCTCTTTTACATGCAAACTCAGTAAAAATTCTCAGAACAATTTTGACAGTTACTATGGATTATGCTGCTTATTTTACAGAACTGGTCTGAACAGATGGAGAACAGGCAGAACTAATTCTGCAGTGTGTAAGAATCTCCTGCTTTGCACACATTTCTGATCACAGTTAATTGCTGGGGATGAATTTGCCCAGGTTTGTGTATTTTATGTTAAAATTATATAAAATAATTTAGCATTTTTATGTATTATTATTATTTCTGTGGAAGTTCAACCACATGCAACCGAGACTTTACAAATCTAAATACTTATTAAAGCAGATGACAAATGAAATGATATCCACAGCACATTACCTCTTCTCCCAAGTGGGATTTGGAAATAGAAAGCTGTGGTCTATAATAGATTTGATAGGATGTATCATTGATGATTGTTGTCTTGTCTTCTATCTGTAGAATCTGTATACCTTGTTGGACCATAGAGGAAATGCAGAACTGACATAACTGTAAAATAAGAATAATAATGATGACATCAAACATAGAAACAGAAAAGGTATTGTAGCATAGTGACAGAACTGCCATTTTCTTAACAGTGGAAATCCTGTCTATATTTATGCTCTTTCTAACTGGAGCCACGTCATGTACTTTGAAGTTGTATCTGTCAGTGCTTTCCAGGCAAGCTTGAGAAGCCATTAATTTGTCCTTATAGGAAATTTTGTATTTTTTGGATGAGCTGGGCTGAACGTTTCTGATGATCTAATTCTTCTAACAATTCTTGGTATACTGTATATCTTCTCACTATGTATTGCATGTATTGCTCTATTTTTGAAAGAGGTTGCATACACTTCATTGTTTTCATCTGTTGTATGCTTTTTTTTTTTTTTTTCCAAGTGAGAAAGCTATAGGTCATGGTAATTTCCTCCTTACCTTTTGATGACCTGGAAAAGCACCAAGTTTTATTTCAGCTTCAACAAAACCTTCTTCATCCAACGTTACCACTTCCCCAGTGTCGACGTCCTTCCATTTTGGGGAGGTCACATTATGAACTAATTTGATTGCCACTGATTTGTGCACAGTATTAGTGTTTGCCCAGTATATCCCAACTTGAAAAGCTTCCTGTAAGTGAAAAATGACCCGTTATCACACAACTATATTTTCATATCAGTTAATTATAGTTTCTAGAATAGAGCCAATTGTACTTCCTGCCTTTCTACCTCTGATTCTTTCTTTATAGTAGAAGCCGCAATGTGAATATGAGGCTGGTCTTCAACGTGGGATCAAGACTGCAAGCTATACTGAGACATGTTAAAAGGCCAATCTTTTGTTTATTAATAGCCATAAATGTAAAAACAAAACAAAATAAAAAAAAAGCAAACAGGAAGTATCAGATTGTTCAACTGGAATTCACAAGCTGGTGTGTTAAATAATATAATTATTTTAAAATAAAGAATGTTGGGGTTGTAATAAAAGTATTCAGATGCCCAAGCCAGGGTATGCGAGAAGTTCTGTTAGACAAAACACGAAATTCAAGAACCAGGCAAGCATCCTAAAACATCTTCCCTATTTTCAATTCACCCTATCTTGTTGTCAGACCCTTCTTGGTAACATAGGAGCCATGAAACAGCTCAACCTAAAAGAGGCACAAAACACATGTTCCTCCCAGGCTGCCAGCTTTGTTACACAAGTCGACTCAAACCTGGCTGTTAAATGTGTCGTTGTTGCTGCTCACCGTGTCAGTGTGCACGGGGACACATCGCTCAACCAGCGGTGGTAAATGGCAACTGTTATTTCTACTCCTGATTGTACAGTTAACAGACACAGTGACTGGCAGGCAGGGATCATCTAGGTTAATCATCCTTCTTCAGAATATTTAGCAGAACTGTGTTTATTAATTTGAATAACAAAGTTACCTCAAAGTTGGGAGGTATAATTACTTTCCCAGTGGGTATCTGAAGAACTATCTTCTCTCCTTCAAACAGCCAGAGATCCCACTTGGACTGATTGATCAGCAGAGCCCAGGGCAGGAGCTCTATGAGCAGCGTTTTGACACATGGTTTCCACACGGAGAGCTTTACCCGCATTGGGCTGTCCCACTGAGAGAGCTGTTCGCCGCTGCTCAAAAACAAACACAGCAATTAGGTAAAGAAAAACTGAATTCAAGAGAAAAAAGATATGCCATAATTTAAAGAAATCTGCAAAGTTTTGTTTTTCTTCTTCAAAAAAAGAAATCTGCTCTTATCATTCTGGAACATACCAAGATGCTGGCAGCCAGATCTAGCTGTATGTAGGCTATAAAGTCATATTTTAAGCTGGATAAGATCAACATATAAACTGGCCAAGAAAAGAAATACTTTAGCAACAGAATTTCCTCTGTCCTTCATAACTAAACCCTTTTGACTTTTGTAATAAAATCACATTTCCCTATTTTTTAAAGGAGCTCCCTCTCCCCTGTTTCTGTGCTGAAATAAGCAGCTTTTATAGCTGTAAAGAAAGTGAATTCACAGAAAAACACTAGCTCCCTTTCTTGAATCCTTGGGCTGATGCAATCTTCTCAGTGTAATCGTGGGCAGTCACTCAGCCAACCAATTTTTTCTTGCCTGAAACAGATTCTGCAGTTTATATACAGGAGTCATGTAATTACTGAAAACATATTCAACTTCAAACATATTCAACAGTCTTCTTGAAGTTTGTTTCACAAAGTTAACTAAACAGACACTTATGGAAAAAAAAGCTCTTGATAACAACAAAAATGTATAAATAGAATTTCTGAGGATCTTTTTAATGAGTGGGGTTTGGATTTTGTTTTTTGACCTTCACAAAGCAAAAGTATAACTATAAAATTTCAAAACTGATCTAAACTATAGCTAGTTTGGAAAATACTGTTGCCTGAAATGCATTTGGGATAGTCTAACATAAAGTAGAATATGTTAAGATTGAGATTCTAAGAAACTCGCACTATACAGTGAAATACGAAATGTAGAACTTCTTGAGAACTTTAAACGATGTACATAGTTTTAACAAGCCACATCATACAATTATTTTTTTATTATTGAGATTATTTTTATTTAACAAGGAATCCAATTCAAGTTCCAATATATATGCCAGTGATCTAAATCTAGAAATGATATAAGTTAACCTATTAATGTGAGTGTATGCAAGGTCTGTAGATTAAGAAAAGTAGTTTAGATGCTTGGAGTTTAGTGTTTTTGCTTGGCAGGGTGAGGACTCAAACCATACAAAGTTACCATATATTCCAGTTTTGAAAATTCATTAAAAATTACAGTAAAACCAGATATCTACCAGTTTTGTGAGGATGAAGAAAATAACCTAAAAATGGGTGAGATCAAAGATACATCCAGCCCTGTATTCTGACCTGATATTGGTTAATAACAGATATCTATGAACCTGGAGGAAAGGCAGCAGGTATACAGTGATATTCTGCCAGCACATGCCCTCTGCCTCCAGGAATTAGTGAACGAGGCACTGACATACCATTAAGCAATACCGCTGTGCATAATGACTCAGATGGCAAAGTGCTGTTAGCTTTCTAGACGCTTTATTTCAACTAACAATTGTACATTTTAACAGACTTCTTTATTTGAAAAGTCAGTGCAGCAACCATGGAGAGGGCTTAGCAAAGAATTACCTGTCTGAATCCTTCCTATTATAGGGCCACGCGGGCTAAGAGTAGTCTGCAACTGGAACACTCTCCACGTAATGAAGTATGAATCAAGTAACAGCGTCTAAAAAGTTACTAAGCATCTGCTGACATGAGTTTATTAAGCCATTGCCACTATTAAGCCATCTTTGTGTTGAAGTCCCAAGAAACTGAAGAATATTCTCACTCTCCCCGCCCTCAACAATTCAAGAGACTTTAGAGATTTACTTTTCAAAACCCCAGAAAATATTTACTGTTTAAGCAAACAAACATTTAGGATACTTATACCTGAAGAATATTCTCACTCTCCCCACCCTCAACAATTCAAGAGAGCAAACAAACATTTAGGATACTTATACCAATTTTAATATTTCCTAACACATAATTTCAGAGCACATATACTTGTACCCTTGCATCTCCTCTGCATATGCAGTATTCTGAGAAATAATACATCAGAAGTTAAAGTGCAAATACTTATTTCTTTTTTTCCTATGCAAACAGACCATTTTCAGGGGAAGTGGACATTATACCTGGCTTGAAAGGTCAGGTGGTGTGTAAGATCAGGTTCTATATTTTGCAATGGCTTCTCTTGACCTTTCCCTGGAATCACTTGTGTTTCACTCAATCCCAGGCTTCTTTTCTCTAAATGTATGATAATTGGGTCTGGAAGATGGCTCCTTACAATGAAAAGAGGGCTGAAAACAATCTAGAAAATGAAGAAAACACACCAATTTAATGTTAGTTTTATTCCAGGACTCCGATTTATTCCCATACTTACAGCACATTATTCTGTCCTCAACTTATCACAAGACATGTAGAGCGTAAGCATGTAGACTTCAAAGACAAAAAAGGTACTTACTATTCGTTGCTGCACTTGAGAGTTGGGCTCTAAAGTCAAAACTGTGCACCACACGTAAGTAATCGAGCTCTTTGAAGATGGTACCTGCATGCAGAGAGATTCTTGTCATTACACTAAGATTATTTCATGGTGATAATGTTCAAGATTACAGCATAGCACACCGAGCTCTAAATGCACTAACGTTTTTATTTTATACTTTAAATATCTATTTCTAGTCATACCTGAATGACAGTGCTGTGTTCTGTGTGTTTAGAAGTTAGACATACGTCTTGTGACCAGTCTTCGTCCCCAGTAGCTTTCACACTCAGCTCTGTGAGCTCACTGTTTTCTAGGACGTACGAAGGCAACTTCTGCCTGGCTGCAAGGCAGTTGATGTGTTCCTTAACAACCGCCTGGCCGTCCTGACTAATGTAGTGCTGAACCACCCTCAGTTCAATACTTTCAGAGAGGTAACTGCAGACTGTCTGTCTTCCACAGATTAGGATCTAAAACACACAAAAATATGCAGCTCATACATAAGCATTTGCAAAGAAGAAAGGGCAAAACTGAACTTGAGGAAAAACCTGTACAAGAATAATTACTTTTTTTGGCATTTAGTTTTTGTTATGTTTTCCCAAGCATTGCTGAAAGCAGTCAGTGGTGAAATGTTATTTTTACTGGCCAAATATACGTGCAATTTCAGAGAAACCTAGGCAATAAGACGCTTCAAATATTGCTAAGGTAATATCTGGGTCTGAGGAAAACATGTAACATATCTCCTTTAGTTCCCAAGGAACCCAGCAACGTAGCCTATGGCTGGTGTAGTTCTGGTTTAGATTTTGAGAGTACTGTAATGCTCTGTAAGTATAGTGTTCTCTCAAAGCTGATACAGTGGTACACTTCAGAAAAAGGTTTCCGTTCCCCCCTCACCTTCTCATCTCAGTCTTGGCTTCCAGGCCTTTCAGTATGCTTGCTGTTTTAAAGCTTGCCATGCCATTAAATGGCCATACCGTATCTCTCTATTTAAGCTCCCTATTTCCTACCTAGGAAATTGCTGTCTGTAATACATCAGTTATTTATCCTAGAGCCTACACTTCTCCTAAGCTATCCCCAGGAACAGTGTTCCATAAATATCCTTGTTACAGCTGTTTGCATTTGTTAGTCACTAATGAGGGAACACCCCGTGTAACTACTTCCCTCTAGAGCCAAGTCCCAGCAGGGCTCCCAGCAAAGCCAGGGAGTCACTATTGCAGCTTTGTCACTATTGCACAGCACAGGGTGCTGCTTTATGCAGGACCTGAACATGACATGTCCAGCTTCTGCCACTGTGGGCAGAAAAGGGGAATGTTATCACAGATATCCATGTAAAGAGGCCATGGGAAAAGTTACTGCACAGCAGCCCATTTTCAAATGTTAATTTGACCATTACTGCATTCCTTTCTTTTTCAACAATAAAAGGCATGAATTACACCCAGAATAAAACACAAACTGTTTCTTTAGGAGAAAACGAGCAACTTTACTTCTCAAGGGCATAAAAAACATGCCAGAAATTGTGTGATTTAGCAATGGCAGAACTTATAAGCCAGTATGTTTTATAAAACATGTAAAATATGTGGTGTAGTTGAGCTTTTAAATGCTGAGATCCTTAACAAAATAAACTCTAAGAGAAGAGTTGCAAAAATTTCTTAAAATGTACCCATAATCCTGTTATCCCCTCCCTCCCCTTCTCTTTTTTTTTGTGGATCCCACTAGAAATTGAATGAGACGGTGACTTGCTATTCCTAAACACACAACAGTTTAATTTACTCGGCTTTACTCAGACTAAAACGTTTTTCCCCAGACTGGAGCAAGTACATACTTGCTTTTGCACCCCACTGAGCTGCTGAATCTTGATGATGAGCGATGCTGTGCGGCCCTTGTACTGGATGGTTCGAATGAAGGTCCCTGTATTGTCCACGCTGAAGGGTTCCGACCAGCGCCAGTTTCCCCAGCCTTCGATACAGATGTGTAACAGCTGGAAAGAAAGCAATCATGACTTCAATACATAACTGGGGGAAAAAAAATCTTGCAGTAGGATAGCAATTCCCATGACAGATAAGTATTTTTGGTTTTAAAAGTCAGCAACACTAAGCACAAAATCTATGAATGATTCACTCGTTCTGTCATTTCAGATACAAATGGAAGAAGGAATAATACCATAGGATGGCCCTGCATCATGCTTTTCTATAAATTACTTGCTTTAACAGTATCCTTGTGGATAGTAAAGATCCAGTGTACAACTGTTCAAGAATAGGTTATGTAGATTAGAGAGCCTAAGACAGGAAATAAGAGATTTTCTTTACTGCCCTTGAAATGGTTCTAGCTGTCCACGCTCTTAATTGCCAGCAGGCAGTATGGAGCACAGGTCCAGGCCATCTATTTGGCTTTCAGGATAAGACAGATAATTACAAATTCAGATGAAAATTCAGGGAAGGAAGCAAATCTTGTATATATATACCTGTAAGGCTCACATACATGAGAGCTATATGATTAAATGCATAAGAATTTAGTATATTGTTGAGCTACTGGAAACATTTAATTTCTTCCACAAAAGCAGTGGCAAGTTCAAGCCTGACTGCATGAGAAGAAATTTAACTGCATAATTATGCTCCCTGTGTGATTTATTCCGGAAAAGGAGTGGCTTTTTTCCTGTTTAACTTAAATCACTTCCAGAGCAGCAGAGTCTTTCATCATTCCAAGAGTCTTTCATCCGCTTACCCACCATACACACTTATCTCCATCCCATGGAGATTCTTTAAGCCAGGGTAGTGAAAATTGGTACTGTTCCATGTAGGTCAATGAAGTTACATAAATTTACGCCAGCTGAAGATCTGGCTATTTAGCTCTATATAGATCTTTTGTGGCTGTGCAAACTTAAGAATGTGAATTATATGGAAGGGATCAAAGCAACAAGCATTCTGGGTAAGGTTTATTCTTTGCAGAGGGCCAGCACAGAACATAAGCATCACTTAAGTCCTTTAAAACTGTTATGTAAAGGCCTGGTGGGAATTCTCTGGTGAGGGTTGAATTTCACTCTGATTTTGGACATCTGTTATTAATTAATTTAAGCAATTTGGAACAGAATCAGGCCCAAAGTACAATTATTTACATGAGTGAAAAATGAAACTTGTAAATATTATGGTCTCCCATGCTTTGTGTTTCCAAAAGGAGCCAGCACCATCCATAGATCTGGCCACTTGGACTTAGAGAATGTCTGGATGTTGGCTTTTTTTCATCGTTTTAAGAAACAACCGGAGCAACAACTTTCAAAGATATTACAACTCAGTAGCCTGTTTGCAATTTGTGGTATCTCCTCAGCACAAGTTACGCACAAAACAAAAACATCCATTCAGTGGGTGGCTTTTGAATTTGCAAGAGTGATGACTGTTGCATTCAGATACAAATTAGTTTTATGCTGGAAGCACAAAGGCTAATATATGCCAGTGTGTGCATGGGCATGTATTTGGATATGCACATGTGTTTGCATGTGTATGTGCATGCTTATACCCAAGAGTATGCCGAGGAAAACTGTACATTGGGCACTCAAGCTCATAAACTCATAGCTTTGATTCGTAATTATTAGTTTCAGAAAAGGGAAAAACAAAACAAAACAAAAAAATCCAATTTCAGTGGCTGGAATCCATTCAGTTTCTTACAGAGGCAGCTGGGAATAAATCTCATCACGTATGAAAACTAAGAGAAACAAGAAAACTGTTTACTTTGGAGAGACTGGTAGCTGGAAATGACGGCCAAGTAATGAGAAAAGGTAGTAAGTGGTCGGTGTCGGCTGGACGGCAGGCGGAAGGCAGCGTGCTCCCAGGATAGGTGCCATAGAAATGCCATAATTGATGACTAGCAGGTCATCACTGCAGGTAGCTCCAGCACCAGGATGTCTCCCACCCCGGAGAAACAGCCTGGCTCAGGAGTTGAATGTTCCCAAGGAGAATGCTGTCAGCTTTCATGGAGTAGCTGTTAGCTCACAGAGCTGCCTTACTCGTTTTCTTTGTAACAAAAAAAATTTGTGCGTGTGCATTTAACTTCATGGTTCAGAAAGAAAAGATAAAATAAGAGCTAATACTAGCAATTCCTTGTTTCTTAAACATACTGTGTGCACACTGGTGAACGCTACATGTAGTAAGGAACAACTTACACAACTTATTTTAAATATATCTAATGTATTTGTATCGATGACATATTAATATTGTGAATTGTGTATTGCCTAAGCTTCCTTTTAAGCCAAGAAACTGCAGTTGTGGAAAACACCAAGGGACCTCCGTGTAAAACAGCTACTTGAATGTCTGTGCGATTGCTGAAAAACATGCCTAGGAATGATTAGCAAATGGCAATAAGTGATCTACAGATATATGGCAGGAAATAAAAACTGTAGTAATTTTGGAAAATTAAGTTATCAGCTATAAACATTATTTTAGCAGAAGACATCATAATAGATGGCATTACATATTCGATAAGACAACGTCCTAATGTTATAAAACTGACCCAACACAGATTTGAAGTAACAACTGCTGCGTAGCCCTCTTTCATTTGCCAAGTTTTAAGTAAATTATAAATATTTAATAGAAATTCTGCTTTAAAATAGCACTTAAAGTATAGTTAAGGATGCTACATGGAGAAAAAGTATGCTACACAGGAGAAAAAAGAAGTCTTTGCAAAAAGGTACAAAATTATTAAATGGAGTTCAAAAGCACTGTAACCAAAATAATCCAGTGATACTTGGCAATTTATAGTTTAAAGAGAATTTAAAACAGATTTGCTATTGTATATATTAAGATATGCACTCACTTGTGTAACCATTTGATCTCAATGGTTTTGTTAGGGCACATATCAATACAGCATTTTATTTTCACTAACCTTTGCTGTTTTTTGGATTTTGAGTTCTAAGCCACAGTGGATTTATGTTTTAAAAGGGGATGAAACTGCCTACAGGGTGGCAGAATAAGATGAAGCTGTTTTTCCTAGAGTAAAGGGTTAGGAAAAGTGGTACTCTTTATCACATCCCTTTGCAGAATGCTTCTAGGCACTCCTCAGAATATACGTGGGTTTCAGCTAGAAGTGTGCGTGAAGGATATGATCTGAGTAAATAAAGCCAAGTGTCAAATGACAAGGCATGAAGACGAAAATGGGGGATTAAAAATGAGCCTAAGAAAGAGTGCAGTCCAGAAAAAGCAGCATTTTCCAGCTGTGTAAGTAATTTAAAGCTTGTGCTCTCAAAATGTTTAGTGACACAAATTTGATTTCTACATTGCTTGTAGATCCATCAAAGCTAACCTGTTTTCCCTGTAATTAAATTTTATCCATTTGCTAAGTGAAACGAATAAATGCTTTTTTTGGAAGAACAGGGGTTATGGCTGTCAACTCTGAGAGGCTCAAAGGGATAGGAGGGGACTCAGCTAACGGTATGGGAAAAGACAGTTATTTTGAGAGAGATGGGCTAGTTAAATCAAAGCTGTGAACATGCAACAGCATGGAGCAAAATGGAGGCCTGGAGGTGGGAGCTGAATTTTCAGACTTGAAGCTAAAGTAACTGTAATTCAGATATTAAAAAATAGGATGATTTGTTTGTTTTTGGTTTTTTTTTGGTCGTGTTTTTTTATGACATCTAGCATAATGTGACCCGTGGCCAGGTTTAGGATTCACACTAATAAAAACAGTTGGTATTTGAGAAAACCGTGAGTAAAATGTTCATCCTGCCTGTTGGCAACTGCAGCAGTTACCAAAACAATCTGAATTTCCATTTGGCTCGAGCTCCTCATGGGACCTGGGCGAGTGGACCATTCCGAGCCGTGGTTGCTCTCCAAAACCACCAGCAAGGAAGAGGGGAGAGAACAATTTCCAGCACCGCTGCCCTGGCCAGCAGAAACAGGGCCAGAGCTCTCCGCCAAGGTCCCACTCAGCGGATCCGCGCGGACCCTTGGGGACTTTTGGAGGAACTGTGTGTCTCAGGACAACCTGCAAAGCAGGTTTGAACCCAGCAGGAACCATCTAGCCCTGAACACTGCAGAGTAGAAGAGTCTTTGGGTCAACGCACAATAACCAGATTAGGAGGAATCATATGCCTCATGGATAATAACAACCCTTATCTGCCCAAAACATTATCTATAAAGTGAATTACATTTGGAATGCAGATCCCTAAGGAGAGCAACAGCACATTTCTCACTACTCAGCGTAAAATAACATAGAGCATTTTTTTCTTTTCTTTTTTTTTTTTTGCCTGATGCTGTTGTGCAAATGATCTGGGGAGGATTATGTTCAGTATAAAAGGCTGCTCAGAGAATCTGTAACATCCCTAAACAATTAAATAGGAAACTATCCCAATAATGACTGATGTAGAAGTCACAGTTGCTCGGTTTGAACCTACAGAGTACTGTATATCATTTTGCACTTAGCAGGACATAACCCAATACCTGAAAGAATGGCAACTTGGAAATAAATAACAATGAATTATTATCCTGATGGAGATGCAACATAAATTAAAATTTGGCTTCAGTGCTTTTTTTCCTTAGGAGAATGAGGAGGAGGTTCTTAAAGTCACTTCCAAATCTACAACTGCCTTTAAAAATACTATTTACAAAATCCTTGCAGAAATTGCCCTTGCAAGTCATACTTCAAAACAGGGAAAAATTCAAGTAGATTGCAGCGTTCAAGCGAAGGTATTGCTAGCCTACTAACCATGACTAATAGCTAGTCAAGAGTTTATAAACGTGACTGAAGATCTGATCACTTTGAACTTCAGAGTTTCACCCTACGTATCATATGCTCCAGTTCACCTTAAGAACACAGCTGTCTTGGAGACAAACACAACTTTTTACATAACTGGGGCCCATCCCACAAAGCCACTTGAAGATCAAGATAAGGAGCGTAAGTTGGATCCAATAAGTACAGGAGTGATGAAGCTTCTCTTTCCTTTTCATGATATCTAACAGACCTCTAACTTTCATTAAAATTCACAAAAGGAACTTACGAGGTCTGGCAACTTTTGCTAGAATAGCTTAAAGCTTCAAATATCATCAGTCTGGACTTACCCCAGCTCTGAGAAGGACTTTATACTTGTGGGTGTCTTATCCCTAAGGAAGGTCAAAAACTCAAGAAATCTGAGAAAAATATCAGGGAAAGAACAGAGTAGAAGAAAGAGCCTCAGACTTCAGACTTATTACTGAAATACTAGACAAGCTATTGAGAGTTGTAGGAAACAGCAAAAGTTAAAATACAGAAATACAGAACTGGACTAGGAAAAAAAAGAAGAGGGAATGAAGGAAGGAAGGAAGACTGAAGGAAGGGAAGGAGGGAAGGAAGGAAGGAAGGAAGGAAGGAAGGAAGGAAGGAAGGAAGGATGGATTTTAACTTAAGTCCAACAATTTGAAGAATATTACCAATACACTGAAATTTAGTGCTATAACTCCTTTCTTAAAATTAAAAATTTGAACAAATTTTATTTATAGCTTATAGTAACTTTGTTAATATTATAAAATTAAGTCTAAATGCAAATTAAACATTAGCTATATGCTATGACACAAAATATTTTGGGAATATTTTAATCTTGTTAGATAAATGCAAATGGCCAATCCTACATCTCTCTCTATTCTTAATTAGCAAAAGAAAAATGGAGAATTTTATTGATGTGAATGTAAAAGAAATACAATCCTTTTAAAACTATTTATTTTCATTTAACTGAACTGCCTTGCCATACTAAAAAAACATTTTGCAGAGGTTAAATAAAGTATTTCATGGCAACCGCTGTTTCTTAGTGCCTGTGTAACAAGAAACATGAGCCAGTCGAAGTTGTGCAAGTTGGTTTTCATTCCCAGTAAGAGAATGCGGTATCTAAGACCTTGTCCTAACTCATTTTATTCCCAAGTGTGAGTCAAGTAAGTCAAGTATGAACTAATGCCTGGAGGGAAGTCCTTGACTCCAAAAGTATGGATTATTTCACATTTATCTTACAATCTGCTCTCAGAGTTCTTAAAATTCACTAACTTGGCAAGTCAGGAATTATCATGAGAAATGAAATAATTTCATAACTATGAAGTCATCTAGCATTCCATGAATATGACACTTGTAGGGTTTGTCCATGCCTGGGCATTATGCTGACCTTTGGATAATAAGCTGTTAGACAGTTTTGCATGGAAATAATTAGGAAAGTGCCATAGCACAATAGGTACAACCTGAAGCTCTAACTGAGGGGGTGTAACCTGAAGTCTTAACTCAGGAGCTGTTTTCATTTCAAAGATTTGTATTAATCATTATAAAAATTTACACCTGACAACATTTGTAATAATCTTTAAACAAGCTTATTTTGCACGATCTAAAATGGCAAAATATTGTGCTGCTTAGACAGCTTAGATAAAACACCTTTCTGAAGCATGCTGTATTTGCGATCATTTGTATTTACCATTAACCTAATGAACAAAACTTATATAGAGATGCCAAGGTACCCTGACCTTTGTAAAGAAAATTAGCTTCTAGCAGTGTGTGGAAAGCCTAGTCTTCCATATATTTTCAGCGAAATTACCTCAGTGTTCTTTTTTAGTTTCCAAACTTCCCAGCAAGAGATGGCTGCTGAAAAATGTTAGAGCAATCCTAATTTTGAAACTATTCCAAGGGCTGGGACAAGCGAGGCATCGCCCCCTCCATTAAAAGCGACTGCTGGACAGCAGTGTGTGAAGGCAAGAGGAGGGAGCTCCCAGCTTCATCCTCTCCTGGGATACAAGAATCCAACATGACTCTCTCAAATGTTTCTCAGCGTCATTCTTCAGTGAATCTGAATCTGATCAGAGTAAACTAGAACGGGGAAACCCTTTGACATCACCAGCTTCAGATGAAGAATATCTAAAAAATGTGTCTGAAGTTCCTGCTGCCACCCACTCCCTAATGTGTGATACTGTTTTCTTGTGGACTTCTCCTTTCATCCTGTACTTCTATTTTTTTACTTAATAAGAAGCTTAGCATCCATGAAAACTGAATCTCCTGCACAGTTCCAGTCTGTGACTAAAAGGACAAGCTAAAAATGAACATCTTTGCTGTAAGGTTGGCGGGTGCTGGCTGGCTAACATGGGCTGCTGTGCTGGTGGTCTTCAGCAGCTTGGCTGCAAATGGCAGAAAGTGTCAGTAAAAAGTCGCAATTTTAATCATCCTTTTTGGCTGAGATAATCCTCCTCTTTCCAGCTTGTGCCGTTAGTAGAAGCACCTCGTTATTAGCACTACACCATTACCAGAGCTATGCTCTAGAAGCCTCTAGAGTGATGGCCAAAAAGAGGATTCTCCCAGTGGTAAAATTTTATATAACTAACCATAAAAGGGATAAGTAAAACTGTTAAGAAGAAAGCCTTTTGTAAACGCTGTTTTTTATTTACAATTGCTTTTAAGCATTTCTTTTCCTATGGGTTTACTAAAAGGTTAAAATGATTTTTAATGGTGACTGCTACAGAAGCAAAACAGCTGCTTATGCAGTACTGGCTCCCTTTGGCTCTGACCACGACCGCAGACACAATCACAAACCAAGCCAGTCTTACCCCTGGATGGACGGGGAGGCCATCACGAACCCGACACGTGCCCATTGCACAGGCCATGGGGCCCTGCTTGGGCTGCCCAGGTACAGGCTGGGGTGTCACTGGCATTTTGTGTGAGAAAGGCCTGTCTAGGCACCTGACAAGGGATGTACCGCACTCCAGTGTCGCTGGAAGTCCCCAGGTTTCCCCTCCGGGCTCTTTGGTCACAGCACACACAGTTTTTAACACCTCCTTTGGCCGTGGGGCTTGAGCCGGCCCTTTGCCACCTCCCTGTCCTGCCTTCCCCTCAGCGTAGGCCTCCACTGCGGGGTCAGTCATCACCACTGTTTGCTCTGGCTGCAGATTGCCACACTAACAGAAATTCCAGTAGTTTTGCATCGCCACGGACTGACATGTGAATGAGACACACAGCGAGTTTGTCCCCTCTGCTTCCCACTGAAACTTGAAACTTGTCAGCAGTGAACGGGGCACAAATGCTGCTGTTCAGAATTGCTGTCTGAACTTCACCTTCTTTCTGACTGGCATTCCCATGGCCGGCATTTTCCAAGGCTCTAAAGGAGCGAGGAATTCAACAAGCACTACATTCCTCCTCACTTCTGTAAAAAAACCAGCACCCAGCAGCGCTGTTCAGCAAGTAGGGTGGCACAGGTCTCTAGTCTCCCACTCAGCATATTATATATTAACACATATATTAGAAAGAAAGAAGAAATGGCTTTGCTATCCAACAAAGACTCTCTTAAACTTAAATTCTTTCTCTGTCTTGAATTAAGATGAGAAGTCCATTTCTCACCATCAACAGTAGGCAAGTTGGATTCTTTAAAATATTTCATGGGTTTTTTTTTCAGTATCAGTGTTTATCCTTAAAAAATAAAACAAGAAACTGTAACTGCATCATTTAAACTACATAAATGGGATGTTTCCAACAACTTCAAACCTTCCTTATTCAGAGCTGGGAGATGTGTCCAGTTGACTGTGTTCTGTAAGCAATTCCTGTGAGCGGATGCTTCTGGTAAAAACAATTCATTAAAAAAATTCCCCAACCCCCTTACGCACATCACAGAAAACAGACACTGATCATTTAGCTTTATAAACCTGGCAAGTGATCTAGTTTTTTTTTTCCAGAAGCTTCAGTTTCCGTGAATGCTCAGTTTTGCAGAACGTGGTGGGTGCACATGCAGTCCTACCCTTGAGAAACTCCTAAGCACTTCTGGACTTCCTCAGGCCATGTTTTTCTTTGCTTTCTGATGCAGCCACAGCATGTGGCTGACGAAGGGCCTGGGACACTGCAGGCAGTTGAGACCGTAGAGAAAAATGAAGAATCAATGCAAAAAACCACCAGCCAGCTCCAGCCACGGCTGCCCTGGAAGGGCTGTTTCTGACATACCTGTGGGGACTTGTGAGAGCGCCAGCTGTACTGGTGACTGTGGAGACTCGCCAGCAAAATGTTTTCATCAGTATCCACCTGGCCAAACCGCAGTGTCTCCTGTGTGTCATTACAGATCACAAAATGGCTGAAGACCAATTCCTCTGCCTCAGGGCACCGGTTCTGAAAGGAAAGGAGTATGAAAGCCTGTAAGGATCAGATTAATTGCAAGATATTTGGCAGCTGTCTGCCCAATGGTGACCGTTACAGCACAGAAATACTTCAAGACCTCCTGTTATTAGCTTCGGTTTCAAAGTGTTCTTCTCTCTGCAAAAGCACAAACTAGCATTTGGGCTGAAAATGGATATCCTCAACATGTATTTTGATTTCTGCTTCCGTAATGTAAGACATCTAAAGCTAAAGCAAAAATTAGATTTCCTAACTTATGCAAAAGACTTCAACACGATTAACTTCAGTGGGAAATGGTGTGTCACACAGGGCAGGTGGGTGCTCCAGTCCAAACAGATAGGAGCAGAGTGGTTTCTCTTAAGTGCAGCAACAGATCCCTCAGGCCAACAGGCTGCCTGCCCTCTTCCCTGGCTGCTGCTTCTTGTTTGAAATAACTATGGTGTGTCAGCAGAAGACTCTCCTAATACTGCTACATTAAAAATAAAAGCAAAGCAGAGTATTTCGCAGATCCACAAGGCCAATTTGAAAACATGTCATAAAATTTAATAGTCCAATATGAAAAACCCAAAACTGTCACAGATTTTTGAAGTATTTCAGACTTTAAGCTGTGCTTTCCTCTGCCTGTAGCCTCCATCCATCTGTATCTTTATACGTTTCATCGGGCTGCTTGGCACTCTGATGACACAGTGTGACTATATGATAGTCACTAAAAGCTACCAGCGCCACAGGTCTTCCTTCCATCCCTGAAGGCACAAACTACCATTTCCACACCAGAGAGGTCACAGTGTGATTGACACTTCTGTATGGGAACCTCCTCTCAGATGTTTTTGCCGTAGTCGCCACCGGGCATCTTCACCTTGCAAGTTACTACCCAGCAACAATAACAGTTGCCCCAAAAAAGTGACTTTCAGATATTCTTCATGCAATTTAACGGGTATAACACAAAGAATCCCTCTCACTGCACTTTTTGTTACCTCTTTCTGACCCGTATTTCCTAGCACACACATTTGACAATGGTTTATTGTTGGTCGGTTCCCTTCTCCGCACAATATAGCCCAGCTGCTCTTTCCTCATCCTTCCTTCCCATGACGTTTTCTCTCGCTTATGGGACCTCCATGGTCTTTCAGAGCTGATTTTATTTCCCCTCCTTGTTCTCTCAGCGGACCTTTTAAACAGACATAATGAAGCTAGCACCTCCTTTGTCTATGATCATATGGGTCTCTAGCTCTTTGATAACAATGTGCCTGGAGGCCTGCAGAAATGCAGAGATCAAGAAAGAGAGAGAGAAAAATACTTCCTGATAGATCCCTATGGATCCTTACTTATCCATGAAAAACAGTTTGGTACATTGCTCCTAGCACATTACAGAGTGATACACGTGGAACAGATTTTCTGAAAAGCAAAGCGTGCAAGGTCTGTCCATTTAACATCCTTGAATGCATGTCCACTACTGTTATTAACTTCAGAAGAACCTAAGGTGCACATCTACAGGCAGACTGCGATTGCTTTTGTGATCCGATTTCAAACTGGTTAGCTGTGAGCATCTGTGCATCAAATTATTCACTGTAGAAGTATAGAAGCATGAGAATATTTACATTAATGTTTCTTTTAAAGTTCTCATGACTTCTGCATCAGATCAGGTATCTTCTGTGAAACAACAGTCAGCATAACATAATCAAAATCTCACTTTTTTGAAGTAGTAAAATTCATAACAGAGCATATGTCTGTATCACATTCAGTAGCAGATCTCGGTATGCTAAGGGCTGACATTTATAGTGCCACTTCAGAGTACAGAGTTTATTTTGGCATTTTCTAGTGGTGGATCTATGACTTTTTACTGTCAAGCTGCCATACCCACATACCCATAAGTCTACCACAAATATATATATTTTCCTGCTACAGCTTTATAAAATGTTCTTTTTAAAAAGAAGGATTTACCATCCATAGAGCTCAGCATGTTGTTATAGTCAAACCCAGACAAAACCCCAGGGAATATAAGAAAGGTTTATGCCAAAAGATTTTTCTTGTCGATTGTGCAGATAAAGGACTGAAAGAACACCAGAAGATGATGAACTTCTTTTTTGACTGTTAATGTGCAATTAAGTCATCTTACATTAGGTTTTTGAATTTTCTGAAGGGAAAAAAGGAATCCGGCAACTTCGACTTTTCATCTTGAAATTTTGGCATATGTAGGACTCCTAATTTGTACTGGAGGAATGTTTTCCCATCAGGGATTTCTAATAGACTTACATATATCTTAGTGCTGAATACAGACATCAGTCATTACTCTTAATTGCTAGATTTGCTATTGAATCCAGTGTTTTTGGCAGAAACCTTTCCCAGAGTTAAGCAAAAGGGGCCTTTTAAGCTCAATTTTACAACAGTTCCAAAGTTTCGACTGAGGAAACACATAAAAAAATGTTTGCATAATAGGGAGTTGCTCCACACTGCCAGCCTTAAGAGATAGCTACCGGTGCCTCAAGTCTTGATAGCGACATCAGACCACAGGATCATCAGCAGAGCGTGCGGATGCTTTCGGTCAGCTCAGCAGCAATGTTGCTATACTGCTTTTACAGGCAGGCTGTGAGGCAACCCTTAGTCTCCTTGTGGAAAATACAGGAGATTTTTTGCTGGCAGAGTATCTCCCGTGGCCCTGGGGACGTGCAGCAGCTCCTTGCACCCATGAGAGGGACTTTGCTGCTCAAGTCTAGCAGTCTCTGGGTGGGCAGAAAGGGACAAAAAATTCAGCAAAAGGATGCGGTTGATTGATAAAAGAGAGCATTAAGAAACCAGACGGAAGAAGAAAAAGTAAAACTAGACCTGGGCCTGGGCCATTTGTGTGGCAGTGATGCTGAAAGAGGGCTGAATGATGACTACAGGAGCTGAAAACACCCAAGTTTCGATTAAGAAATAATAATAATAAAAGTCTCTCTCCAAATTAAGACTGCAAGTCAAAAGAATAAGCAAAAGATCAACAGCCTGAATCAGATACAGATTAGGGTCAGTTCCTGGGGGACAATTTCCTGCCCCTCTTTAGATCATTTTTCAGCTGTTCTTTTCTCTCCAAGAGGCCTGGAAAGCGTCTCATATTTATTGGGCTTTCAAACATTTTGTGAATTCTAGTCAGAGGGGGGAAAAACATCACACATAATACTAGTCACCAGGCTTTCCCTGTCTCGGGACCTTCTGCTCACATCTCAGCTCACAGCTATTTCAAAGCATTTCTGGATCTGGAAGCACACCATAAAAGCGTAGGCCTGTTTATGTGCACAAAGTTACTTTCTGTGAGTCTCGCGGGCTACTGAGGAGCTGTGCAAGGCTTCGTGCAAACACTCACACTCTCATGCACCGTCTCTCTTTCTCCAGAACTCATTAATAATTTTTGGTCTGAAAGTCTTCAGCAATTTCTTCTCTCTATCTAAGAGAAAAGAACTTTTTTCCCTCCCCAGTTCCTTAAATTTCCTTGCAATTCTGACTGCAGCATTCAATCAGTATTAGCTAAATACTCAAACTGAAGCTGCAAGTTCTTGGTACACTTTTCTTTTGTTCTTGTGGGGAAGGGAGAGGGAAGCTACTGCGATAGACGTCATTTTGCTGAGCCCAACTCATTAGGAGAACTTTTGCTACTCCTGACAGAAAGGTTAAGCATCACATGGACTTTGAGGAAAAGAGGCTCTACTGATTTCCTCAGGTCTAGCACAGGAGCTTTTATCACTTCTGAGGGGTTCAGGAAAACATTTACAGTGAGAGACCACAAAGGGATAGAGCTTTTCTCAGGAATACTCACTTGGTGCCATATGTGGGGAGCTGCTTTTTCAGGAGGTCTAGAGAATATACGAAGAAGCACTAGTGCTTTAAAACAATTTGCAAAGGCTTAAATGCACAAATAAAGGAAAAAGAAAAAAGCCAAAAAATGCACTGTATAGTTCATAAGAAACATGCATTTTCTGTCTCACATATTATTAAATAATAAAACTAATTATTAAATAATTAAATTAAATAACGATCTTCAACTTCCCTGCCCAGTTATTTGATTGCTAAAATGATCATTTTAGGTTTGCATTTAGATGTGCATTAGCTTGTTACTGCTTGTATTTAAACAGGGATTTCAGATTAGACAGGGAAATATGTCAAAAGGGGAAACTGTTTTTAAAAAGTGCTAATCCTCTCGAGTTTTCAGCATGTGACTTAGGAGTCTAAAGCAAGCTGTTTGCCTGCTGTTTTTAGGACTTAATCTACTTTCAGAATGTTCATCATTACTTTAAAAAATAAATTAAAAAATGGTCCATATCTAGGAAACAAAGATGCTGACAGCGGCTTCTGTTAATCTTGAACTCTTGACCTAAAGGTGCAAGGCCAAATTGTTTCATGCTTCATCTGTCTGTCTGCTGACTACGACATCACTTATTCCAGATATTAATCCAGTAAAAAATATGTGGAGAATTCAAATAACTTTTCCCCTTATTAAATTCATGTTTCTAGTTGGCAGCACTTATATTGTATTATATTGTATGACCACCGCACATCAAACAACGCTTATCATGGGCAAATTCATTCCCTCCCTGGAGGTAAAGTCACATACAAAACATCTTGGTACCAATTAGTTTAATAAGCTGTTTTGAACCCACTTGCGTGCTAACGGTTCCCTAATTTCAAAGCAGAGTGAGTTTTTAATCTAGAATACTCAGGGCTAGATACCCACCACATCAGAACATGGTGGCAAGTACCCTTGACATGAGAGGAAACAAGAAAATTACAGCAACAATTACAGAAGTATATCCTCCTGTGGCTTATGTTAACATTGCCAAATCCATGTATAAATCAGTACCAACTATTCATAGAATGTACCTGTCAGCAGTATACTAGGCAACATATGGCTCTACTTAATCAAATATACAATTCAATTTTTTCAACTGAGAATATTCCTTCAAGGCACAGAGAAGTCAGTCAGCCAGTCAGACTGAGATGTGGTTTGAAACATTTAAATATTTATGCACCATATTTTATTTATATGTATAACTATGTCTGAGAGACCTTTTTTTTTTAATTCTAAGAGGAAACTGACCTTTCTGAAGGCCATTTTGCAGTAGTTGCCACACATGTCTTAGATGAGGGACTAGTACTAACTCAGAAATATTTTGGGCTTAAATAGCCTACGAAAGATTCTCTTATACTTTCGATGTTTGTTTTTTATTAAAAGCATTGTTCAAAATATGACAAAAAACAGAAATTGGAGCTACAAAGATTTTTGTTCACATTGATATTTGAGCCAGCTGTAAAGATTTAAATCACACTAGATCTTGTTTTATGAATGTCCTTTTGCAACAAGAAAACCATGGAATGCCCTTAAAAAAAAGAATTTTTTGATATAAAACAGATGTTTTATCCTTTTTTGGGGGCTTTGTTATTGTAGTGCCATGATAGGTAATTAATTCCCAGGCTCCACATAGGTCTTCAGGCAGATGAGGAGAATGATTTGATTTCAAGGCTATATTGGAGTAGGGGAATTACAGGCCTTGGAGGGGTCATTGCAGAAGCAAGGTTCCTTACACTGGGACTGGCTTCAACCATAATGCTGCCTGTACGGAGTGTAATGTGAAACTAGTGTTGAACTTCAATCAGGGTAGAAGTAGTAGCTGGAAACAATATGCTCTGCTGCTCAGAACGAGCTGTTCTTACATATCATGCATTGTTCACCTTTTCATAAATTAACAGAATATCATGCATTTCAAGACTAAGATTCTGATCACTCCAGTATAAATCCATGTCCTTTCATTGAAAGTCAAGCAGTACAGGGTGCATTTGCCTTCATATACAGGATTTCACATCTTCTAATTTCCATTGCTATCATGGAATTAATGTTTACCAGTTTAAAAGACTTCCAGTACGAATTTAATCTTTCACATCATAAACTGTTTTAATGAATTCAGATGGTATCCAAATTTCCTATGAAATTAATCACTATAGTTAAAAAGTACTTTTTTTTAGCCCTGTTGTATTTGCCTACCTGTTGCCAAGCTTGAATGGCTGTATTTAGAGAATGAATTGCATATTGGCCAAAGCCGATGAAAACGGGGTCCACCATTATTGTGCTGTCCAAGATTCTTCCATCGGTACTGCTGGAAAGAGCAAGCTGCCCCCAGATTTTGAAAGGCTTTACAACACTTTGCATAGTCACGTTTCGGCACTCCAGCAGTCTGCAGCTGGCTTGAGTTGAAAACTGGATCTCCTGGAACCTTGACTCATCACTCCACTGACGAAGACAGACATGAGGCTCCTCAAAGGAAATGACCATGTATTCCAGTTCAGAGGGCAGGCTTTTGTCAGATGTGAATGGTTGAAGAAACTTTGGTGGAGCTGAAAACGAAAGAACAAACAAGACTCAACTAGAACATCGCTATTCCCAGACTGTGTGTTTTGACAAGTCATGTAAAATAGAACTGTGTTTAACAGTAGCTGCAAACAAAAAAGTGAACACAAATAAAACAGCAGTCAGCCAAACTGTTTTACCTACACCATGCACAGTACTTTTAGACTGGCAACTACTTGAAGCAGAGACCATATTTTTGAGAGAATTTTAGTACAGTACATGTACATGAAGTTCCATGCATGTTCCATGCATAGCACATTATGAATACAATAGAAATACAATAGGAATTAACAATATAACATTTGTTGAAATGTAACTGTGCAGGCTAACGGGCTCCACAATGAAAATTGTCTTTGCTGTGATTAGCAGAGCATTCAAGACCACAAATCCACAACGCAACATATTGCCCCTCAAATACCAGAACTTAAATAAACTGCATCCTAAGACTTATGCATGAGAAATATATTAAAAGGATTCTTATGTGCTCACTGAAGTCTCAGTCCTGCAAAGTGCTGAGCACTGTGGCAGCAGAAACTGCAAAGCACATGCACCACTTGTGTAACATAAAGCCTGCAAGTATTTCCATTGATGTTATTATTTATGTTATATGGGACCACTCACATGCTTAAAATCAGCATATGCTCAAGTGCTCAACAGATCTGGAATGGAAATGCTCATTACTTTCAAGGATCAAGCCTTATTATTCTACAAAAGTGTAATGGATACAGTAAATTTTCTGCTCTCTTTTTGTATTGTGTGTGACAAACTTCAGACCCAAAACTTAAGGTTTTTAGGTAGCAAGAACAACAGCAAGAGCAGCAGCAGTGTAAACTCAGTTGTTGCTGAACAATGAAACAGCTGGGTTTGATTCTAATTTGAATTTTCCAGTATATGTAAATTTAAAAGGTCTAGCATCTGGAATTGGAGTATAATAGCTAGGAAGATTATGTGCTGATAGAGGTAGTTGATATAAAACTAAAAAGCTGTTAGATGTTGAGTGTCTATCTTGGTATGATTTGATAATGAATATAATATAATCCTCGCAGAAAAACAAAAATTACTCAAAAAGAAAGCTGGTCTGTAAATAATATCTAAGATATTTGCTCATCTTCCATGCAAAGCATTCCTGGCATTTGAAAATCAGGCAATAATTTAAAGATCTCTTGGAATGTATTTGCCATTAATGCAATGACAGTACTGAACAAAAACAGATGTAGCTCCAGAAGTGATTGTAATAGCAGTTAGGTCTGCAGTTCTCAGAGCTCTTCCAAAGAAGTCTTACGAAGGGGGTTGCAAAATCTTCAGATATCTTAATAGTACTGTTAATATGCTGGAAAATTTGGAAGATTGAACTCATTCACTAGTTTGTCTCAAAAATCAGGCGGCACCTGCTTTCACTAATCAGAGTAAGGGAAGGGGACTGCTTCTACAGTTACCCTTGCTGAGGGGGCAGCCCCTCGCCGGGCTGGCGCGCTCTCCGTGCACGTGCCAGCACCATCCGTTCTACCCTGAAGCCTCAACCAATGGCTCTGCACTGTAGCTTAGTTCAGGAATGAGGAAATGGGGACCACAGAGAGCAAAACAACAACCTAGCACTACAAATGAACCGTAGGCTTTTATGATTCCACATAAAGCAACACAGACCTGCTCCTAGTTGATCAAGATGATGGCAGAGATGGACTTCCAAATAAGTAAACTGGACCAACAGGCTAAGTGAGGGCACGAACCAAGGCGTAAAACAGGAGTCGACCCTGGTACAGGCTGCCAGTGCGGTAGGAGTTACAAGCTGATCACATGCACTCTGTGAGCCAGATTCACTTTCTGAGCTGTAGAAGATAAAAAATGAAGTTATCACTTTGCAGTAGGATGAGACCAGGTGCCAGGCGTATTTTCTGACACAGCCAATGTCATCATTTGGTTTTACATTTAACATTACTGCATATATATTTTTCCAAGGAGAACAGGGTAGGCAATGCAACAGTGCTTTTATCATAGTGCATTTCTAGTTTACTAGCTGAAACACCAAAATAAAAAAATCAAAGCAGGCTTAGAAAAAACAATAAAAATGAATATCAGTTATATTTAACTAGTGATACAACCAAAGAAAGTCCATTCCCATTATAAAAGCTTTAAGATTGATCTGAAAGTTAATTTTATCAAGAAAACGATTTTTTTAAGGAAACCAACTCACAACCACTCAAAGTCATCATTTAAGAAAAACTTCTGTAGTGTTATAAGCCTGGAGCCTTTTACTAACACCAATTACAACATAGTAACTATACATTTAAAATGCCACTGATTTTTTTTTTTCCAAGAAGCGTTCCTGACCTCATGGATATTTCCAAGCATTATCTTTCAGTCTCTTGAGAGAAGCCAACCCTACACCACAATCCTACAGATTGGTAAGATGCCACTGAAGTATAAATAAACTTTCTAAATTAAGCCAAATCTATCATTAGTGTTTCTCATTCCCAGTCATTAGCAATTTTGCACTAAAGAGTTTCAGTTTAAAAGCATAAGCTTGATTTAAGACCTGAAAACTATACCTATAATAAATACTGCTTTTCTTCCCTCTAAAAAACAAAATTTAAGTACGGATTATATAAGGCTACCCACCACTTTTTCAGAAAATAATCTCTTTAATGAACTGCAAACACAATTGAACTTATATTTTAAAAATATTTTAAATTCAAGCGCTGCCTTCCTACACAGCATTTTATACTTTTTCATTCCAGTGTAAGTCTGCAAACTCATGCACAAATGATGCACAGAGTTGTTCAAAACGTACAGCTGCGATGTATGAAATTCCATGGATGGGGGTATAAATCAGTGCTACTTTGTGCTACAATAACTAGTAAGTATGATATTTATTTATGGCTTAAATCCCACTTTAAATTTGTGGACATAAATTAAATTACTTGTGTAGGAGTAAAACTCAACTAAAGATAAGCTAATTATCAAAACATCAGGACATGATATAAAACATGGTGAAGGATGAAAGAGGTTTTTATCAGATTTTTTAGCAGCTTTTCTGTATTTCTTCAACCTAGTTACCTTGCCTGTATTTCAAAAATGGTTTCACTGGTGTTTTGTGAACCAACATCTTTGGAAATAAAATTATTCTTTGTGTTCACATGACAAAACATGCATAAGAATGGACTAGATGGGATGCTTTTCTTGGATCTGCCTCCCCGGATGCTCTTCAGTTCCTTAGAACATAGCTCAGAGGCAAATTCCAAACCACCAAAATTCAAACACTGATTTGGACCAGTAACTACTTTTGAATCTGTAAAGCTAGTTAGTTCCCTCAGAATAACTTAGAAAATTGTGACAATTTTAGCTCTTTATGCTTTGATTAGAAACAGAGGTGCAGGGGCATACACAATGAAAACAGAGAAATGGGAGTGAATGAAAACAGAAGTTAAGCAAACTATGAAGCAATAAAAACAAAAAATCACACTTTGATATTCTGAATTAGGACTCAGTTAGTTGAAGCAGCCCTGAGACCCACTGCACTAAAAAGGATGGACACATTTCTGAAATTTGCTTATTCTGAAACTCACCATGTGGAATTTATCATTGCTGTTGCTGATCTGCACAGATTTTGTGGAGGTATTACTATTTTATCTGTGAGGGGGTCCACTTGATTCCTTTCCCACTTGGAAACCATTCCTGGATTTACAGTCCCCATGGTATTATGAAAATAACAGTCAGAATATAATATATACTAGCAGTACGAGTGACTTTGTAGCCACTTCCAACTTGCTATGGTATCACATTTAAGAAAGAACTGTAATAAGAGATCACAATATTGAGTGAACATTTTTTGAAGGGATGCTGTAGTCCCTTAATCACTATCATGACCCTTAGAATTTAAATGAAATCCCACTTAAATTTTAACTCCATTTAAATATTCATATATTTACATATTCATAATCCTGAAACTACAATACAATTTCCTGCCTAGGTAGATCTCTTACAGGCCTTCAGCACTACTCCTGTCTCCGTTTAGCTAGTGTAGAGCACAAAAAGCAGATGGCACAGTCTGTCCTTACATGTCAGCTGAAACTTTTGGAAACATCCTGCTAAGTGTTGGTGAACAAAGTTGGAGGACTAATATAAAAGAAATAGATCTGATTGCAAAATCAAAATTTGCACGTAAATGATTATGACATATAAAAACATAATTCTTTTGACTGTTTGAGAGCTACAAACACAGTGTGGATTGTGTGCAACTTTTCAGCTGGGAGAAAAGGAAGAGCTAGAACCTACAGCTTGTGTTTGGCACAATACGCTGAGGAAGGATGCAGCAAAACCAGAGCAAATTCTAAATCCCAGCAGAACTGGCTTAAATAGTGGGGTTTTTTTTGTTGTTGTTGTTATTGTTGTTTTTTTAATTCCGTGAAGGACCAAAATTTTTAAACCAGAAAATACCTACGCCGTAAGCCATTATAAATTACAAAATATGATAAATTCACATCATGCCAATGGTTCAGGCTATATATGTGACAACTGGGAACAATGACTTAACAGCGACCTGCATTTATTCTTGTTATTTTAAGAGTGGAATATTTAAATCAAAAGTGCCATTTGTGATGAGATCTCAACATGGGAAAATATCCACTGGGAAGAAGAATGAGACCACTTAACTCTTTTAATTTATGACTCAAATACTAGTCTGAATCCAAATCATTAGATGTCAAAATCCAGGACTTTAACAATTTTGAGTAAGAGCTAAAACAATTAGCAAGAAATCTGATCATGTTCTCTCACTTTGATTTTTTTTTAAGTAGCAATTTAATTTAATGCTTATTCAAATATTTTTGTACTTCTTTTACGGTTTGCCAAACTTGAAGATGTTTCTTGTAAGGCATTTTCTGTAATTATTTCACATTCTTATGTCAGTAATTAGATAAATACTATTTATATAACGCAAAAGATGCATGAATATATGTAATGTAACCCACTTAAGCAAAACCAGTGAGCCCTTCCCTGCCAAACTGGGGAGGGATTTTAGGGCCCCATCAGCCAAACACAGCACAGAACTAAAGCCATTTAGATTACAGTTTGCTAAGCCTGCAACATGAACGTTTAACCTGTAAAAATAAGTTTTTTTCTAACCCCCTACTTTAAGGTTTTCCATGAACAGTCATTTTGCCATATATGATTCTTTACATAGCTACTATACTAGATCCTCAAAGGGATACTAAATTATTGCACTTAGGACTTTGTTCATTCATTGAATAAACATTCATGAATGCCCATTCAAAACTTATTCATTTAAAAATGGTCTAAAATACTCTTCAAATAAATGATTTACGCTTTTATATTATATCTTAAACCAGATGATAGCTCCATGGTTTTTATAACTCTGATTTCTTCCTGACCAAGCTTAGAAGGGTTGCCTGTCACAGGATTTGGATCATAACACCTTTGAATAGTCCTATAATCATTGTGGTCAACATCGCTGTAGCCTGTCAGCTATTACTCAGCATATCAGTAGGATGCACATCTTCTCACACACCATGTTGTTTTCCTGGAATCAGTAATGAAGTGCTTAAAAAACAAGGGACTGGCCCTACAGTATTAATAATTAGCATATCACAGAGGTTACAGCCCTCCCCTGCAGATTCAGAAGGAAAAAATATAACCCTTGAGCAGCAGCTGCTCAGAATCTGACCCAAAATATAAGATCAAACAAGGAAAATAAACTTTGACAAGACTAAGAATTTTTACACTTCAATAGTGAATTAAAATTGCTAATCATACATAGAGTTATAGAGTTATATGTCATACATAGAGTTCCAGCCCGTAAGTAATGTCAAATCGTTGGGAGTCCCAAGGGAAGTGTAGCCAGCAACATTTATGCAACCTTTCCTTCTTGTTTGGATCCCCAGACTCTCAACCTTGGAGTTCCTTGGTCTAACACCAGGCACTGGCTTGCAGCCCAGTGCTCTGGGGTTCTCACAACTCTCAAAGACCTTATGATAAACCCTGCTCAAGCAACAAGCCCAGTGGAAGATATTTACAGAGATAAGGGACACTCTCAAAAAAGGATTGATTTTTTTGGTCAAGTAAGATACAGTATTTTAGGGTAATTGGGCACAACTTAAGGTCCATACCAAATGCAATAGGTTCATTTGATGAGAGACAGGGCCAAAGTTTCAGCAGAGCTTCCTTTAATTTCCCTATTTCTTTTGTTTTGTTGTTTTTCAAATAATGCTTTAGGTAGCTGGCACACCTTCTTTGCTGCTGTCTTTTCTTCCTGGTATCCCTCTTCAATGAACTACTAATATTTTGGTAATTCCTGTTCTTTCAGTTGCAGTTTCTAAAGTCTGGAGGAAAAAGTACTTCTGGTTTCACCGCTGTGGACAGTGTGATTTTGCTCCTCAGAGTTTACTAGTACTTCAGAGTCATTCAGATCCTCTTTATCCTGTTAAATCTTGATGCCCAGGTACTTCTGAGGATGTTCACCACCGAGCAGCCTTAGCCTCTAAGAACTCAGGCCTTCCAGGCAGGTGCATTCATGGTGTGCCATAAAATGTTTCTGATGTTAATCACAGTCCAAACGACTTTGATTTAAAATTACTTGTATTTCATTTTACCCCTAGCCTTGTTCTTAATGATTGGCCTCTGTATAACATCTGAATATAAAGCCAGTACATATATGCACCAGTACATATAGTGAACTCTGAGCAGAAAACAATCAACATGATTACAGTGTCAAACGCCTCGATGAAAAAAAATCTGTTACATTTCATTACTCATTTTCAGTTCCCACCGAGTTCACATTTCTGTGGTGTTAAGCTGACCAGGAAGGTAATTTTGTCAAGGTCCCACATTCAGAGGAATTAACCTTGTCCAAAGCACTTAACTTCTCAATGATGAAAATGCATTCTTTCACAATTAGCATCAAGAAATCTTTTCCAACCTGATACTATTAATGGAAACCAGATGTTTAATCATTGATTTTGTTATTCATAGTCTTATTTCTTAATTTCTCTGAATTCTGCAGCTTCATGTACATATATGTGGATTCAAGATATATATTCAAACATGTTGATTCACAGGCAAGAACCATCAGCACATACTAATGATCCAACAAGGTCATTCTTGTTTTTCTGGTGCAAATATAAAAGGTTAAGAAGGTCTTCAATAGCAATTTTTTTTTTGCTAAATTCTTCAAAATCTACACGTTAACCAAAATCTAATCAGTGCAAACACAGTGAATTTCTGGCAGTGTATGTCATTTGTAAAACTTTCATTTGTAAACATAATGAAAGACTGATCCTGTTTTTGAAAACACTGATTTTTTTTTTTACTGTTACCATATTAAGCAAACTTTATGAAAGATAATGTAACACTCTTAAAGAAGTATTAGAATTTTGTTTAATAAATACATCTAAAGCACACACTTGGTTTACTTTGGTCACTAGCTTGCCCTGAAGGCAGAATAAAGCTGATGCACTAGGACGGGAGCATAGCAGAAGATGCTTGCTAATAATTTATAAAAGAGGTTGTGCCTCAGCCTCCTTCTGTTAACCAACCAACTTTACTGCCCTGCACAGGCATGAGGTTTCAGGCCATGGTCTTGCTGGTTCCTTTTGTTGTTCAGTAATCCTTATGTTCAGAAAGTCCCATGCATATGATGCTTCCAGCCTCTATATAAATCTAAGACAAACCATTTTTGCCCATGTGCCATGCACTTGTGTGAGGGTCAGCTACAATCTGAATCTCATTTAAGACCAGCTACTCTCACCATACATGAAAACAATATCCTATTTCCTAAGTCTCCTGAATAAGATCTCTCAAGAGTGCGGCATTAGATTACTGTTTTTCTCTCCTCCTTTCAAAATTACCTTTGGTCATCAGGCACGTTCTGACTGCTGTTCAGGACAATCCTCCACAGATCTGAGGCTATGAGCTCCTTCTGATCACTCACAAGGTTGATGCTGGGCAGCTGTAGTTCACAGACCTTGCTTTCTGATAGACTGAACTCCCGGAATGCAACAAATGATTTCTGAAGCTCATCCCAATACTCCAAGCTGCAAGGAATCTGAGATAAAAAGGAGATGTCAGAATTACTTTATGTTTCCTCAAAAATACAAGGGGATTTACTGAAAGCAAAAGTACAGGCACACTTCTACACACTAAAAGTGTAGAACTAACTAAACTAAACTAGAGTGAGCTGTCATATGGAAAACCAGAATTTCAGCTGTACTCGGGTTCTGTGCTATGTCCACTTATTTAGGGTTTTTTAAATTTCATTGCAGTGTATCACTTCCAAGTTGCTCTTACTAGGTACAGAAATAACTTTTTGTTCCGTAGTACCCAGGAATCATTACTTATATTATGCAGTCAAGAACTCCATCCGATATCATTACAGCATGGTATCAAGTGCAGTTTAATCACCATAAAATGCTTTTTCTTTGAACTAGCGCTTTTGATTTTATTACATAATAAAATATCCACTAATTAAATGCCCACTTATTAATTATCTTATTAAAATTATTAAAGATGGGCTTGTGGGTGGCCAACATACACACATAAATCTTTGGGGGACAAATTATAAAGTACTTGTAATCCCATGACTCCTTTCACGGAACATGCTATCTAGTCAATGCGTGGTTCACACAACCAAAACCATTTTAATCACATCCCTGAGATTAGATCTACAAATAACTCACTTTGCATAAGCCTGGACTCATCACTGGCTTGGGGAGAATGCTCTTAGAGACATTTCTGAACAACGTAGAAAAAAAAATCTAATAAAATATAGATTTTATAGAGTGTGTCTTATGCTTTCTCTTTTGAATAGCAGCATGAAAGTAATAATTATGAAAACTCTCTAACATCTGAAAATTTCATAATTAAGCACAGAAATACACATTTATGACACTCATACATATCTGATAATTATTAAAATCCAAGTTGTCAGGAAAAAAAGTAAAAAATACATATGTCCTCAT